TGACGTTTTATGACATTCTTTGCCTTACTATACCATGACATTTTGTGACATTTTTATGCCATACTATACTATTACAACTTATGACATTTTAATGCCTTACTATACTATGATTTTTTTGCCTTACTATACTATGACATTTTTTGCTTTGCCATACTATACTATGACATTTTATGACATTTTCATGCCTTGCCATACTATGACGTTTTTATGACGTTTTACGCCTTACTATACTATGACAACTTATGACATTTTAATGCCTTACTATACTATGATTTTTTTGCCTTACTATACTATGACATTTTTTGCTTTGCCATACTATACTATGACATTTTATGACATTTTCATGCCTTACTATACTATGACATTTTTTGACATTTTCATGCTTTACTATACTATGATATTTTATGAATTTTTTTTGCCATACTATACTATTACATTTTTTGCCTTACTATACTATGACATTTTATGACATTTTTAGGCTATACTATACTATGACATTTTTATGCCTTACTATACTAAGACGTTTTATGACATTTTCACGCCTTAATATATTATGACATTTTATGTCATTTTCATGACTTACCATAGTGTGACAGTTTTATCCCTCACTATACCATGACTTTTTATGACATTTTTATTCCTTACTATACTATGAAGTTTTTATGCCTTACCATAATATGAAATTTGTATGCCCTATTACAGCATTACATTTTTTCATGCCTGATTGACGGGAGGGGTGAAATGGGATTAAATTGGACCGAAAGTCCTGTGGTCTGAGCCCGGCATTACTTAAGTAAAGGACATAAATAGTTCACAGATATCTTCTGCAGTCTTTGTGTGTTTGCAGTTGAAACATGAAATGAAGTGAGGCTGGATCAAAGCTGAGTCAATAAAACATTATTGTTTAATGTTTGTCATTAATCATGAATCCACAACACAGCAGTTTGTTTAGTGAGTAGGAAAAAAAATGTGAGTATTTACATCTACTGTCATACACGTCACAGTTTATACCCATGCTAACACAATAAAGACTTTTATATACAAGAAATACTTACTAGCATCATCGTACAAAGGAATATCGTCATAGTAACTCAATATCTGGATTTGATGCAAAATACACAAAATAATGATAACCCTCAGCTGCCCTGAAATCATCAGAATCATTAGACAAAAGGAACTTGTGTTTTTTGTTGTCGTCTAGGTTTAAAAACAGTTTTACATCAGAAGGTACAAGGCAAGACAACCACAGTCTACATGTATACAAGGTTTGCCCTTTATGATCGGTATAAATACACTCTCCTTGTTTATGTACACAGAAATCAACCTGTTGCCCCTGTGCACTGGACATCAGTCCCCCCCCCACACACACACACACCTCCTCTTCATCAGCTTCAGCGTTTACACTGAACGTCAAAATACAACCTGCCCAGTGGTTTTAGTGTCACACCACACTCACTGCTCGTCTGACTGAGCATCTCCAACAAAGCTTCAGTTAGCACATGAAACGAGCCCTTCCTGCTGTTATCTATTACAACATTTTGTTTTTGTCACTTTTATAAAGTGCCAGCCTTCAGCTAATATCCCTGCTCTCAAGCACTGACATTGTATGATATTTTTATTTCAAACAAATGATTCAGTCAAGACTTAAAGAAACAACTAAATAATTCAAACTGGAAATCGTATTAAAAAAAAGGGGCTTTGCATAGTTTCTCCTCAACTGACAAGCTGTGATTCTCAGAATGGTTTTAATGTGAACTGAGTTTACAGGCCTGTATATCTAATACATTTAACACTGTCTAACAATCTAGTGTATGGCCTTGAAAATTACATCGTGCCAAACAAGTCCTTCTCCCTGCGTTTAAAGTCTGCACCAAACAGTCCTAATGAACATGTTGACCCAAACCTTTCACTCAGTGGGTGGGATTCATCCTTCATAACAACAAGTGTAAATGTCTGTCTGTGTGTGTGTAAACTTTCTGTCACTGATTTAATTGCGACAAACAGAAGAAAAGCATCATTTAGATCTTAGCGTTCAATGACTCAGTGTCTTTTAACATTAGAAGTAAAAGTAAAATAATAAACCAAGGCTTCTGGATTTCCCCTCAGCGTGGCTGTGAAACATTGACACCAACACACAGCGGTTACATGTGGATGAGAATACATTGTCAGTTAATACAGTGCGGTGAGCCACACTTCACCTGTATCAGAATCACACCTCACTCAAACCTCAAAGCCAAACCACCGGCCCCAAAACGAGCTCATAACTCAGCTTTTAGCACAAGGACGAAAAACTGATGCAGCAGCCAAACTAAGAAGAAAAAAAAAAATCAGTATCAGTGGCTCAGAAAGATTCAGAGTTTCACTGTTATCGTGTAGAGAATAAGTGAAGGAGCAAGATTTCATTAAAGAAACAGAAAACTCCAGATCTATAGATATACATATATACGATATAACGTGTGGAGCTATAACAACAACAGACTGGTGATGTTCAGACACCAAAACAGAAGGAGTGTTTCTATAAATCAAGAAAGCTGCAGAGTGACATGAACGATCTCTGAGCTTCACACCAGAATCCACGAGGCCGAGGTCAAAAACACAAATCACAAGCTGAACCCAGCTCGCGTCACCTCGACAGGAAGATAAAGAGGAAGCAAATATGTTTCTGTGACCACTCAGTCCACAACAACAGCCCCAAACAATCTGTGGTTCAGTGTGTCCAAAGGGAGGGAGGAGGAGACGAGCTGCTCAACGTTACGGGTCTGAGTAAAGACACAAGTGGAGACGTGATTAACGAGTCAAACACTCACCTGCTCTAAACTACAGCTCCTGTCGCGGGTGGAACTGACGCCATGATAATAACGACGGCTGTGTTACCAGTGAGGCAGCGTGCAGACATACAGGGGCCCCCGGGGGCCGGCACACCCTCATCAATGTCATTAATCACACCTGTGCTTTTCCTACAGTGACACATCTGCTGCTACACTGAAGGTGACGCACATTGTTCCACATCTGGATCTTTTCCGTCGTCGAAGGAAACAGGAAATAAAAATAGTCAATATTAAATCAGGAGCTTATGGATTACACTTGTACAGTTATTGATGATTATTCTGGGAGCTGATGGAAACAAACACAGACTCTACTTTTTCATTTCCTTCTGTCTGTGACTCGCAGCTCTAAAGACAAACCTTCAAAAACACCTCGCAAATATATAGTTTCATCATCAAACTGCTCAGTATTTACTAAACCAAGTGGCCAGTGTGTGTTTGGGGTCTATTGTCTGTCATGACATGAGATGACAGGATATTAGCAGCCTTCTCCTTTAACTTTGCATCAGTTAATGCAAATTCAGGATTTTGAGTTTCTCGTACCTTTAAGATGTTACAGTCTGCGCCGTTACAGTTCATCATGTGTGGTTACAGTGGGACTATGATCCAGCAACAGGTGAATCTGTGACAGAACCAAGGAGCGGTCGCTAAGAGGCTAAACCAGACGAGCTAACGGCTGATCACACTTCAGTTCTTTCCGTCTGAGACAGAACAGAGAGGAGGTGGATTACAGCAGGACAGAGTGTGTTCAGTCTGAGCTGGTGGCTACAAGTCAAACGTTTCACATATTTAAAATAAAAAAAACAAAACAAAAACAAAGTATTATCCTTCACAGTTCTGTTACTTTATCACAGAGATTTCACATCCTGGGTGATTTAAGTGAAAGTGTTTCATCAGTGCACAGCAATCCTCCAGTGCTTCCTCTAATTCACCTTTGTGCATCGCTCACAGTCTGTCCCACGACTCATTAAATGAACATGCATACAAAACAGGACCCTGATTAAAAAAATGTACAGTCATTACAGTTCATTACTTTCATAAAAAAATGGCAAAAAGTGTATATTTATGATAGTTAATATTCTCTATAAATCCATCTAATGCCTCGCACACATTTACTGGTTCGTCCCTCAAACATCCTCAGCTAAAAAAAAAAAAACAAAAACCAACCCTCACAGTCTTTTTCCAAATCACAAGCATAAATAAACCAGTTCTTTAACCCTCAAGTTGCTGGATTCAACGTCTTCAGGACGTTAGAAGCTGCTGTTGTTTGTGTGTGAGGCGTCGTCACGTCGTCCTTCTCAACAAGTGCACATCATGTATCATCAAGCAGCTACTCGTGGCTCCAGAAGCCATTTAACTTGCATATTTCTACATAGGTTTCACCTTTCAATCAAAAGTATAAGGATTAAATATAAATTATATTTATACACATCTGTATACCGTATTACATTTATCTACACGCTTTGATATAAAGACTCTCCGGCTCCGTCAAACGCTCGTTGGTTGTTGATGCGTCCAGGAATAACATGAAGCTGTTGTTCAGGTGGAAGAACTAAACGTGTCTCGTGTCTTCATTGTTACCACTTTCTTTATGTTTTGGTCTTTTTGTTTTCAGTCACTTTACCTTCGTGCATCAGCTCCCGTCTCTACTTTGATCTTTCTGCGTTTATAAAAACTATAATTCTTAACTCTCAGTTGTGTTGCTCTGGTGCTTCGTTAAAGTGCCGCTTGTCTTCGCGTCATCAGAGCGAGGTATCAACAGCACGTCTTCCCTTCATGAACGATAACGTTTGATCAATGTCATCGATGAAAATGAAATCAATAACTAACATGAGATCTGTGCAGGTGTCAGAATTTAGAAACATGATGACGGGTTTAATGAAGGGGCGGACTGATTCATTATTCCTTGGTTTGCTCCTCCACAGATGACGGGAGGTGGTTAACGGCGGTGGGATGTGAGGGAGCAGATCATTTGAAACTTTAACTTTAAGGTTTAATTATGGGACTAAAACAACGGGGGGGAATCTGACCGTTTCTCTCAACATCACTTTTCATTTTCATCAGTTTTCGTTTGGCTCTTGTTCTCATTTCTCTCTCTCTTTCTTTCTTTCTCTCTCTCTTCTGAAAAGAGTTTATTCAAATCCTACACGTCTCTACGAATCGCCCGTCGTCGTCTTACTCCTCACTGATGCCGTGCTCCCACGCCACCTTAGCTTGCTCATCCTTGGTTGCTGCGATTATGGGCTGGGAGATCTTGCGTGGCATGGGCCGGGGCGCAGGAGGAGGTGCAGACTGGGCGTTGAGGGCGTCTTCTTCAGGGATACACCCCTCTCTGAGGTAGGGTTTGGGGGGCAGGGCTGGGGGAGGCTCGTGGAGGTGGTAAAGAGGCGGGTGGTGGGGGATGTAGTGTGGGTGGAAGTGGTGGTGATAGTAGTGGTGTTGTGGGTGCGGCAGCCCGTCCTGCTGCTGCGGTTGTGGTTGTGGAGCTCCGGTGGAGGTCGAACCCTGGGGCTGGATTTGGCCGCCCGCCTGGGCCGGGGCAACGCCTCCCGGGGCGGACTGGCTGCGGCAGGGTGGGGGCTTGGATCCGTCCAGGACTTCGGGCTCAGAGACGCTGTACCTGACGGGCTGGTAAGGCGAGTCGAGGTCTTCTTGGTCGGTGGTCCAGGCCTGGCTGCTGGGGACGGACTCCAGGGTGTCTGTGCGGCTGGCCGGGGGGTCGGAGGAGGAGGCGGGGCCGCCGAAGTTGCTCTCGCTGAGGGAGGAGACTCCAGAGCTGGCGCTGCCCGACAAGGTGGAGTTACTGCCATCCAGGATGGACTGTGGACTGGTGGGCGAGGCAGGTATAGGGTGCAGGGGAGACTGGGGAGAGAGAGAGAGGGTGGGGGTGGGGGAGTTAGCAGGGGCAGACACATCAGCAGCTCAGTTTCTATTCAAACGTTTTTAATCTGATATGATGGAAAAAATCTGTAGCTACTGTTTCATATTATTATTTTCTCTTCTCAGACTGAAAATCACAGTCGATGCTTTTCACTGTAGTATTTTACTGTAGTTTCATATCTGCAGTGTGTTGTGGTTCTATGATAATGATTTAATTTAATTACACTGCACATGTAAAAGCAAAACTAGAGACAAGAGCTGAAGATTAGCAGCAGCTGTAAACTCTCTGTGCAACACATCAGCTTCATGCTTCGTATCGGAACTGTGTTAAACTGCATCGTCCCTAATAAATAAATAACAAACAGCAAAAGAATTATAATAAAACCCACTGTAGCACAAAACAATTAGGTAATTGAAAAAAACACAAATAAGGAATAAACTCTGGACATTAATCAGATTATTCTCATTAATAATACTTTAATACTAATAAACCAGTTTATTTTCTTTTAGAAATAAAAAAGTAAAGTCTGGTCTCTGGACTCAGACAGAGCGTGAGAACAAACTCAGACTCAGTCGAGTCAAAGAAAGACTCAAATATAAAACTAAAAAAAATTAACTATTTCATGTTTCTATTTAACAGTGTTCATAAAAAGGTGAACAGGAAAAGGACAGTGAGAGGTGAACAGGTGAAATATTCTTGTTGCGTTCAGGAATCAAACTGTCGACAGGGAGATGAGGAGAAGGACACGAAGGTTGAACAGAACTGGAAAATGGACAGAAAAGCAGAGGAGTGTGTGTCAGGGGAGACAACATGGAGATTTAATCCGCTGATGGTTTGATTGTGTTTATCTTTAATCTTAGCGCTTCCTGCTGCTGCTCCCCCGACACACAACGCCCTGAAATCTCACAGTTTCATCCACACTGACATTTTGAATGTCAGCTGAGGATGAATTTTTCTTCATGAAATCTATCTTCCTCTGATGTCTCACAAAAAGTCGTTCTGCTGACGTTGTGACAACAATCACTGAGTGTGTGCAGCGATGTTTCCTAATCATGGCATCAAATAAATAAAAATGGACACAAAGAAATACACACAGTCTTGGGGAGTGCAGACAGACAGACGGACAGACAGACAGACAGACAGACAAGCATCCAGACCAACAGCAGGAGTGAGGAAGAGGAGGAGGAGGAGGAGGGTACCTTTCTTAAGGAGCGCGCGGGGAGAGCTGGAGGGAGGTCGCTGACCTGGTGGTGGAAAGCGTCAAAGTGCATCGACAGGTGTTGCCCTACGGGGGGGACACAGCAGGACTGACTGAGAGAGAGGCACACTCACACACCTCAGAGCAGAGAAGAAGAAGAAGAAGAAGATGAAGATGAGAAGAAGAAGAAGAAGGAGGAGGAGGAAGAGAGAGAAAGGAGAGTAGAAAGATGCAGCAGGAGGACTGAAGCAGAGAGGAGGTGGAGGAGTGAGTGAAGGAGGGAGGGGGGTGATCGAAGGGCCCTCTGAAGATCACATGGTGCTTGGTTTTGATTCTTAATATGATCTTAAACTTATTTTAAACGAGAAACTGAGAAACATAAAGATGAAAGGTTCAGTTCAACCACGTCACACAAACACGTCCCCTCTTAGTTAATATTGTCGAGCCTCGCAGAACGTCTTGATTTCATGTGGTGAGGTTCTGAGATAACTGTGTGTGATGGGAGTGTAATCTGAGGTTTCTCATCTCTTTTAAAATCCTCTGCTATGATAAATATTTTTGTTTCACTTGGTTTTCACACATAAAAAGTGAAAAAGAAAATGGAAAACTGGTTCTGAAGCTCATCTCCTCTTACTTCCTGGATCAGGGCTTGTGCCCCGCCCACCACCTGCTGGCTCCAGGTGGACAGGTGAAAGAGCAGAGAGTAGGAAGATGGTGAGAGGAGGAAACATCAGAGAGACTCAGCCACATGTTTGAGCCTCAGTCAGACCCAGACTCAGAGGAGGAGTCTGAGACCAGAACCAGAGACTAGCAGACGGGTCAGAACTGTTAGCATAGTTAGCATCTTTTATTTGTTTATTAGCTTGTAACTGGCAGTGGCTGACACGGTGTTAGCAGTTGTTGCTAATGCTAACTCTCTCTCTCTGTACTGACAAGGTTTTCAGGTGTATTTAGCCCCGCCCCCCGTTCCCATAAGGTGACAGGATTGGTTCCTGAGGTTTGTGACGTATGAAACCCAGAATCTGTGTTTATGAGACTGTGATTGGTTCACTGCAGTTCAAGGTGGAAACACGCAGTCATGGTGTTGATGATCACATGTCTGTATTATATAAAAAAACATCATACGGATGATAACAAGTAACATAAAAAAGGAAATATCTGTGAACCACAGTTCAGACTGAAGTAAACGCCAACAGGAACATTTCTGACCTGAAAATAAACAACAACATTACACCAAAACAAAGCACCACACACACACACACACACACACACACACACACACACACACACACACACACACACACACACACACACACAGAGACAAAGACAGTTCTGAAGGACCTGAGTAACACACACACACACACACACACACACACACGTTTACATGCAGTAATGTCAGAAGAAACAAAAAAACAAACATCCACAAGTGAACACACAAGAGAAATGAGTCAGACTAACACACAAACATATAAGACACACACACACACACACACACACACACACACACACGTAAGACACACACTCAGCAGTAGAGTCATACCATGAGGCAGGTTGCGTGGGGGAACAGGAGGCGCCATGACGCTGCCAACGTGGGCAGAGAGGAAGGGGAGGGCTTCTCTGGTACCACTGTCCAAACTCCAACTACTGGGGGTGGTGAGGACTAGAGGAGGAGAGGAGGAGAGGCAGAGGAGGAGAGGAGGAGAGAGAGGAGAGGAGGGGAGAGAGGAGAGGGGAGGGGAGGGGAGGAGAGGCGAGGAGAGAGGAGAGGAGAGGAGAGGAGGAGAGAGGAGAGGAGGAGAGAGAGGAGAGAGGAGAGGAGGAGAGAGAGGAGAGAGGAGATGAGGAGAGGAGGAGAGGAGGAGAGAGAGGAGAGGAGGAGAGAGAGGAGAGGAGGAGAGGAGGAGAGAGAGGAGAGAGGAGAGAGGAGAGGAGAGAAAACAAGGAGGAGAGGAGGAGAGAGGACAGAAAACAAGGATAAGAGGAGAGGAGGAGAGGAGAGGAGAGGAATTGAGAGAAGACAAGATGAGAGAAATACAGGAGAGCAGAGGAAGAAGAAACAGAATAGAGAGAAGAGGACAGGAAAAGGAAAGGAGAGGAGAAAGAGAAAGAGGAGGAGACGAGGAAGAAAGGAGAGGAGAGAAACAATGAGGAATGGAAATAAGAGACAAAGAAAGGAGGAGAAGAGAAGAGGAGAAAAAGGTGGCGAGGGTGAAGAAAGAAAAGACAGGAGGGGATGAGCGACTGTATTTTGAGATATAATCCGTCACATTGAGTCTGAGTGAGTGACTTCTACCTTTCTCAGCTACAGACAGGTTGGGGTCGCTGCAGGGTTTACATGGACCGATCACCTGGTGGAACAACGCCCGCTGGAAGTTCACGGGCTGAAGACGGCGAGAAAGACTAAAGGTCAAAGCCCGTTACACTTCATACACAGCTGTCTCATGACTGTTCAAAGAGTTTCTGTTTCGACATAAATCCAGCTGCAACAGTTACAGATCAAAAATCCTGAGAGAGAAAATCATCAGTCGCATCATGTGGTTTATATTTACACCTGAAAAAGCTTCACTTTAATCAGAGGGTTAGGGTTGTGTCTACAGTTAGACACAAAGAAGATCCTTGTTCCTCCCGCCTGTCGCTCCGTACCTGTCCGTTCTCCGTGATGTTGGTGTACATTGCGCTGCTCGGCCGCTCTCTGTGCGGCGGCAGCAGCATCAGCATCTCTCTGTTGTGTCTGTATTTGTCTGGTAGAGAAGGAGAGCCGACTGCAGAGGGACAGAGAGGGGGGGTGGGGTTAACAGGAAGTTAACTCTAGTGTCAAATACACACAAACACGTGACGTCTGTTCCTCTGGTCACTACAAGGTTAAAGCCTTCACTCCCACTCATTCACTCTTTTTTCTCCTTTACATGGGGCTGCAGTTTATGTTGCTCTTGAGTTCTTATACTTGGTCCATGTTTGTCTCATAGAGCTTTATTTGTCCCTATTTCTTTAAGAACAACATGAGACTTCTTTGATTCACTGTGTTCTTTTAATCTTTAATTCTCCCCTTCATGTTTAGAAAAACAACTCTTTTGAGATTTGAGAATAAACCTTTGTCAGAGAATTGAAGTTTCATGGTTTCCTGACCCGATGCCCATGATGACAGTTCACCTTTTATTCTGAACCTCCTACTTCACAGGGACTGTCTGACCAAGTATTGAAGCTTTTCTCTCCAAGTTTTAGTCTTAAACTTCGGGGGTGATTCCTCTCAGCTAAAGTCGGTTAAATTGTTACACAAAAGATCAAAGTTCACCACGGGGTGAGTTCCTGTTCAAACAACAGGAGGATGAAATAGTAGTGCGCTTCTTTGATGTTACCCGCTTTGAAAAAGTGATAGTTAGGTCTATCACAAGTGCTATTGGCAGCAAATCAACAGTCTCCATGGAAACAGCAGAATTTCTTACTTAACTCTTTTCCTTAACTAAGGAAACCTTTGATGAGATGAGTAACTCCCTCTGCTGAGGAGAAATCAAACCTTAAGTGTCAGACTCAAGTAGAAAACTTAAGGTGTTGTGTGCAACAGGTCCCAGAAGCTGGTGTAGCTAACGGATGAATGTTGCATGGTGTATCTGATCTGCTCACCTCTGATGGTTGAGGGGGTGGAGTTTATCATCTGAGAGGGCGCAGAGTGGGTGGAGCTAAGGCTGGAGGAGGAGGGGCTTGCCTGCAAAGAGAAAACGTGACTGTGGTGAAAATCAGCAACACAAACAAAAACACTCACATAAAATCTGGACTGAAAAAGAAAGTGATTAAAATAAACGTACAGTGGTGATGTAAAGTCTTACTGGTGGAGATAGATCCACTGACCTGCATGCGGTAGAAGTCCTCGGGGTGCTCCACCACCATGCCGTCAGCCAGGATCAGCAGATTGCCAACGTTCCCCATCTCACTGGAGTTGTGAGAGGAGAGAGAGGAGGAGGAGTTTCGCACTGGAGTCAAAACGGCTATGGGACTGGGAGGAGGGAACGAAGGAGGGACAGTGGGGAGGGAAGAAGAGGAGAGGGGTGGAGGAGGAAGAGGAGGAAGAGGAGGAAGAGGAGGAAGGGCAAAGAGGAGAGAGAAAGGCGTCGAGGCACAGGGAGGAGAGGAGAGGAGGGAAGGAAAGAGGAGCCATGCAGAGTACGTCCCAAAATCGGAGGGAGGAGGCAAACCAACAACCAAAACATGCAAAATATGATTTGGTGGGAATGAGAGTGATGCAGGAGTGTTCAGCCAAGACGAGGCAAGAGGCGACACACAGGGTGATATCATGGGAAAAGGAAGACGGAGTGAGAGAGAGAGAGAGAGAGAGAGAGAGAGAGGGAGGGAGGAAATGGTAGAATGTCAGAAAGCATGATGTGTGCAGCAGAACAGAGATGAGCGAGAACGCAGCATGTTTTTTTTTTTGTGTGTAAAAAAATTAGCAAAGATCATTAATGAGACGGAACCAGTGAAGAAGAGATGAAGAAGCCGGTGAGAAAAAAAGTGTGTGTTGACTAATTTACATGTGATGAGGATGTGACACCGTGTGGCTATGAACGGATGAGTGTGTCGTTCAATGAGGACAAAGCAGAACATTCTCACTTGGGGATAAGTGTGTAAGTGTGTAAGTGTGTGTGTGTGTGTGTGTGTGTGTTGCTGACCTGTGCCGGTGCATGATCTTGAAGCTCTCGGGGCTCATGGGGCTGTGAGAAGCCAGGATCCCTCTGGGGGTGTTGGCTCCTGAGCCGGTCTTGTCTAAACCAGGCAGACCCTGCAAGGCCACATAGAAACACTGCTCTGAATGTTCACGCTGCCCTCGGACACGTGCCTGTGTTAATGTGTGTGAATGTGCGTCTGAAATCAAGGGACTTTTAAACGGAGGTGCCCTGCAGTTCAACATATATAACGGAGTGAAAGGCTGTTGCTGCGACAGTTTCTCTGCACTCACGTGGCAGAGGCTGCTCCTCATCATCTGGAACTGATCGATCAGCTTCTTGTGCAGGGGGCGCATTTCAGGGTGCACCAGCTTCTCGTGCACCGCCAGGCCGACTCCCAGGATGTGAACCTGCGGGAAACCAAGCAGTGTGTGAAGAGACTGGAAGTTCCTGAACTTTATTTTTCTGTTGAGAAAAATTGTATTTGTTCTTGGTCCTCGCAGCTTTCATCCAAAATTTTTAGCGCCACCATCAAGCCAAAAGTTTTCAGAAACTTAAGGGTAGATTGATGATTCAGCTTATTTATGCTTCTTTGTTTAACGTTTAACGTTTTATTTATGAACATTTTTCATGTTATGAGAACAAGTTTTAAAAGAAAAACATTATTCCATAATGTTGGTGCATGTTTACTCTTCACTGAGATCCTCAGCGTCACATAAAATCCATAAAATGTGTATCAGTTAAAAACTTCAGTTTTTCCAAAGTGGTTAAAATGAACTTGTTTTCCACAATAAATCCAAGTTATATTTTACATCTTCAGAGAAATCTTTACAGCTACTCACATATAGAAGTCACTCCTCCATGTTTCTCGTGACCCGACTCTTTAGTCTAACGCCACAGTCAGGTGAAGCTCTTCAGGTGCATGTGCATGTATAGTGTATAGTGTGAAGTGTGTTCAGTTCACTGTGGTTAAATAAAGTCTCACCTGCTCCTGCATCAGGTCTTTGAGCTGTGTGATCTTCTCCGTGTCCTCAGGGTGGCTGGTGATATACTCCTTATCAAAGAAAGCCTGTGTCACAAACAAAAACAAACTTCTTTAAGAACATCATCATCAAATTAACAAATGACTAATTGTGTTTAGAATATTTTTAATATTGAAGTAAAACTGCTGTTGTCACTAATTATCATTGTTTAATTATCAGACTGCGTGAACAGTGATGACGGCTGAGCATAAGCTTTAATAAGAAACCTGCAGGTTCACTGAGCATGAAACAAGAACATCCTCCTAACGTCTGTGTTTACCCCGACTCAGCCGTTTACCCAGAACTGCCCCCGTTGATAACTGCATTAATTACCCCCGTGTCATTTAATTAGGCAGTTATAAAAGAAATGAGGTGTTTCTGTGACGCCAAACTCACAGAGCCTTGAGGCATACCAGGCTCGCATGATGAACTTAATTTGCATTTAACACTTTTGTTTTCGCTGTGTGTCCGACCTCTTGGTATCTGGCGATGCCTCCGTTGACGGCGGCGTCGATGACTCCGTTCAGGGTCATGCTGAGCAGGTTGATGTTGCCGTGCAGCTGCTTGTGTTGGTACTGGCTGATCAGAGTCCGCAGCTCCTGGTTCTTATTCTCCACCACGGAGACGGCGTTTTCTAACGGACTCACCTCCACCTGGGAGAGAGAATTTATTTAACGTTATTCTCTCCGTGTACAAAACTGTGTTGATCCTCTGCTGTAAGATGCAGCTGATCCCCAAGTAAAAGATCCAGACAGTGAGTGTGCAGGGCGGGAAATTTGAAGGGTTTCATGAATTATAGGAGTAAGGAAATGTAACACGAGCATTATCATACTGTCCGTTTTCATTTCACTCACCAGCTCTCTCTTCTCCACCTCGAACCAGCGTGAAATCCCAGGCAAAGGGTGAGTGAGGATCAGGGTGGTCCTCTCAATCCACAGACTCTGAAACACACAACAAGCAGCGACACACACACACACACACACACACACACACACACAGTCCTGAATCCACGAGGTGACATGTTTGATATGAGCATCAGCAGCACTGAGGTCTGAACCACTGACCGCTCTCATTACAAATGATATTAATCAGTTCCATGTTAATGTTGATATATAGTGTAATTATCGCTCATGTTTACGAACGAAGCTGGAGTTGTGCACTAAAGTTTTTCTTTTTCTAACGTACGTGTCCCTTAAGAAGGAGTGTCAGTAAAACACAATGTAAAAATGTTGGTGAAATACAGAAACAGAAATAAATTTCAGTGAGTGAATGGACATTTTTCCAGCTGTACATTCATTTGTGTAAAGGTTTACAATAGAACAGTTTATCTTTAATATATATGTAATTGCAGAAAAACACACGGATCTTAAAATGAGTAGAAACTGATGCGAGCGTTTTCCTTGCTCACCTTGAACTCATTGTCTCGGTCTTTGGGTCCTTTGTGGAAGGGCCGGTCGTAACGGAAACGGCGAACGTTGTTGACCCGGTAGAAGCTCTTGATGCGGTCCGGCACTCTGTCCATCTGCAGCACGCTGACGCTGTCTGGTACCGGTGTCACGGCGTAGATCTGGAGGTCTGATCCTCACAGGTCAAAGAACTAACTCTATAAACGTCACGGATCATTTGCTTCTGATTCTCCTTCTCATGATGAAGTAATATTCAGATCAATCAGTCATAATTGGACAAACATCAACACACACACACACACACACACGCACACGCACACGCACACGCACACGCACACGCACACGCACACACACACACTCTTTTTCTGAAGGATACACTGTGCATCACACTGCAGAATAGCCTCATCTGGCTGATTGGGGTGCTGCATCGCAATGGCTTGTGGGAATTCTCCCAGCATCCTTTGCTGGAAGGCCTCTAACCTTTCGTAGTCATGGCCACGACAGACAAACTCTTTGTTCTGGAGAGGACAAAGACAGAGACAAAACAAAAAGTTTTTCTAAATGTCTTCCTCTCGTTAATAGTCAGAATATTTATGGAGCAGTTTCATTCATTAAATTACTTCAGAAAAAACTTTTTAAACTTCGTGTTTTTATCAGTAAGTTGTTTTTTTTTTTTTAAAACTGACACTGTACAACGACACTAGAAGATAAATGTTTAACTCACTCTGAGGAAGAAAGGGAACTTCCGGCCGTAGAACCCGACCCTGAAGAACTCTGGCTCCAGACGCTGCTGCTCCATGATGTTGTCATAATATGCCGCCTCCATTTTCTTTACACACACACACACACACACACACACACACACACACACACACACACACACACACACACACACACCACAGCAGGAAGACATGAGAAGAAGAAGTCACAAATAGTTTGATGATATTGGGAATTTTTATTCATCTGAGAGACCTGACACAGGAAACAGGAAAACTATCATGAGTGACGTGTCATGTGACTCACCCGTATCCAGCTCAGACTCTGGTAGTCGTACAGAGATTCATACTGGAAGGCCAGCTCTCTGCAAAGGGGTATTCCATATTCCCAACACTGAAGAGCGCAGACACACACACACACACACACACACACACACACACACACACACACACACACACACACACACACACACACACACACTTTCTTAATGTTCACTTCCCCTTCTATTGTTCTTTCCTCACTAAATGAAGTTGATCATGATGAACGCCTCTTCCTTGACGAGGTAGTTACTAAAAGTGACACTTCCTGGATGTGCACAGGAAACAGCTGCCAAGTCCAGTCCAGTTTTACTTTTCTCCCCTCACTGGGTGACTGAACCAGCTGTGCTAGGGGACTGTCAGCTGTCGGTCACTTCCCATCAGTGCACATCTACATCAGGGTTTTTCTTCCTTTTTTGGCCAGAAACCTGCCAATTTATCTCTAAACATTAGGGAGAGGATTATGTTTTCTCATCTTTTGTGGCCAGTCAGGGAGGTGTCACTTCCCTTTGTTACTTGTGTTACTCTGATATTAAACACCCACTCCTGTTGCACTCTCAGACACTTCCTTTTCTTTTCTTAGTTGTCGTGGTTTGTTAGAGTCACCTCGGGTACTTTGTTACTCCCCGTGTTCCCCGGGACATTTTTCTAGTGTTGTAACACCACAGATTAAAATCACGGGGTGAATTAAACTGAAGTGAAGCACAGCAGCAGATATTTCTGTTATCAGTTTACCTCTCCACATGACACAAGTTAAACTTCTTGTTAAAAGCTTCTGCTTTTGTATATAGAGGATAATACACACTCATTCCTCATTGAGGTTTCCCTCAGTAAAATTCAAAAGGGGACATGTGTCGATCTTGAGAGTGTGTTGTAGATAATTCCATGTGTTTGGTGCAAAAAACTAAAGGCAGATTTTAAAAAGCCAAAACTTTATCAAAACACTGTTCAACCTGCATAAATGTGAACATGTAGAAACAAGCGAAAAAGAAAGCTGTCTGTCTGTCGTCTGACCGTTTAGCTTAGTTTTCCACAAGACTAAAATGTGGCACCGCTGACTGAGATAAGCAGCCCCCTCAGTGTTGAGTATGTGTGTGTGTGTGTGTGTGTGTGTCTGTCCTCACCTTTCCCTTGTTGAAGTAGTGGATGACCTTGCGGCACAGCCCCTCCTTGCGATGCCACTCTGTCTGAGCAGGATAGTGCAGGAACTCTTTGAGAGGCCGCTCGTCCCAGTGCAGCAGCTCCCAGTACAACAGCAGAGTGAACGCAGCCTCTGTGGACAAACAACCCCAGCGTTTTATACAGTGTGCATGAGTGTGTGTGTGTGTGTGTGTGTTAGTGTGTGTGTGTGTGCTGTACCGGTGTAGTTCTCCGCCTGTAGATGCATATCACACAGTTTGTGGATGTAGCGGATGTACATCTCCTCCTTGTTGATCTCTGACTTGTAGAAGTTCTGAAAAGACACAGACACAAACTGTTTTCATCCAAACTAAAATAGTTTCTGTGGTTCATCAGGTAGAAACAAGTACTGAAGGATCTGCAGTATTAGAGATATCAACATGACATAAATCTTACCAGGAGGTTCACAGTGCAGCCAATCTTCTTGTTCTCAGTCTCATCTCCCTTCATACAGTCTCTGAAGAATAAACGACACCATAGCAATTAAAAACTGCAGCCCCTCCCCCTCCTCTCGTAATGAGCCTCTGTTCCACTGGCTCCAGCTTCTATAAGAAAGTGGACTGGACAATGAGTTTGGGCTGATATTCAATAATAGCGAATATTGTGATATTGGCTTTACTGTTTGTTGTAATCCTGCAATGTGCCTTCTGAGTTACACTGGTGAAGGAACCTGGTCCAAACACAACAAACACATTTTAACGACTGGATGCACGACAGCTAAAAGACTGGTAGCAACAAACTGGAAGGACGCAGATCGACTGAAAGAGGGACTGTGGACTGTGTCTGTGTGTGTGTGTGTGTCTCTTGTATGTTACCGGTAGTCCAGCAGTCGCTCCATCAGCCGTGTGACTGAGGTAACAAAGGAAATCCCCGTCTCCCTCCACGTCTCCTGCTCAATCTTCTCCAACAGACTTCAGAGAAAAGAAAAAAGAAAAATCAGACACTGAGCTCGTTTTACAAACTGGTAACTTGTGTTTTGACTCTGTTGTTGTTGTTGTTGTTGTTGTTTAAGTCAGATCTCTTTATTTCCTTGAAACTGATTCACTTTCAACAGGCCCATGTGCACAGGGCAGACTTCCATCAGTTAACTTGGCCTTTCGGAGAAACAGTGTTTTCAACAGTTCATGGGTGGTTGGTGGTTAGTGGTAAAGAGCTCAGATGGTTAAACATGAAAATATGGTGGCTATTCTCTACCGGCTTGTTCATGTGAAAGTAAATGTGGTTAAAACCCACAAACAGTGTTTTCTGAGTAAGTTGTGCAACTGTTATTGTTTGAGTTTGTTTTACTGTAAGATGTGTCGCAACAGTTTCAATCAAGAACGATAACCCGCTTTTGAAATCTGAGTTTTAGTTTCCTCTGAATGACACTGAAGAGACACTGAGAGGTGATATAGTAATAAACCTGAACATTTTTGTTTCACCGCAGCTTTTACGAGGTATTGGTGATGTCATACCTGGGGTACGGCCCAAACAGCTGGGTTCTAGTCCCGCAGCACAGAGCAAAGCAAACACACAAGAGCAGTGTTAGAGCAGAGAGACAGAGAGTTAATCTGTGTTACCAAAGAGAGGCAGAGCAGAAGGATCAGACTGGGGTTTCAAATCAGAGGCAGACACGGGGAGAGAAACTGTGAGGAGTAATCTGACTGTCTTCTTACAGCAAACCGAAGAGCTCCCTGTAGTTCTCGTCACCTTTCCCCTCGGACACCAAACTGTCCAGCTTGTCGATCAGCTCAGCCTCCACCTGCACGCACACACCAAGAAAAACAAACACTGGCTTCCTCCAAACTATCGGGGCTGTTTGCAGTTGTCCTTAAAAGTGTGTGTGTGTGTGTGTGTGTGTGTGTGTGTGTGTGTGTGTGTGTGTGTGTGAGTGTGAGTGTGTGTGTACCTGTTTGAAGTTCCCGTTCTTACGTTGCTCCCAGTCCATCATGTCATGGAAGATGGGGATCATGATGTTTCGTACCTCCACCTGAGGGACCAGCGTCACTCCCAGGAACGGACCGATCATACCGGGGATGAAGTGGATCTTATTCTCACCTGCAGCCAGAGAGTTCGTATCAACTCTTCAATCTTTGATCAATCAACCAATAAATCTAAATCTGTGTGCGAGTTAACCATTTCAGCACGGAAACGGAATTGGACACACATTAGATTTCAGGAATATAAATTATAGTTACAGTAAACTCTTTGAGAGGTGAACAAAAAGTCTTACCCAGGTTCTGCCACATGCTGAACAGTTCATAGGTCATCATCACTCTCATGTCACCGTACCTGCAGAGGCACAAACATCAAGTGATAAGTCCCAAAAACTACTAATAATATGTAAGAAGACTGTAGAGCCTTTAGATGAAAAGGTTAATATAGGTCAAACTACTGTTAACTCCTTTTATGATAAAGAAAAAATAATATATTTAAATGTAGTTCATGTCTTGATTGGCTAAAACAAGAGAGCAACAGGGTGAGGAGATTATTTTTTGGGGGTTGCGGGTTGATTTTCAAAATAAATTAATAATAAAGAGTTAGCCAAACGTTGGCTAACTACCGCAGAGTGGCTGAGCGGTGCCTTAAGATGCCAGCTCAAGATGAGAAGAGATGGAAGAGATATGTGAAGTTGGACCAACTGAAAGTAACGTTACAAAGTCAAGTTCAAATGAAAGACGTGAGGTGCTGGCGACAGATTTGGCCTCCAACGAGCAGGAGAGGTCAGTGACCTCAACGCAGCAGAGAAGTCACCGGTACCGACTCCCCCTCTGTGCTGCTCATGGGAATAATATTATAAAGAGTACAGTCCTGATCTGTATGAATGAAAAGTGCCCTGATAACTTCTGTTATGATTTGGCTGCTGTATAAAATATGGAAGGTGTTTTAATGTTTTCTTTCCATTGAAACATCGCAGTCGCTCAACTATGTGCTGTGTCATCGTACATGTCTCAATCCAGGAATTCGCTTTTTGATCCGAAACTCAGTAATAACTGTGGGTGGGGACTTTACTGAGTTTAGTGTCTAGGTCCTCTTCGTTCCTGGGACTATTTGGTGGAGAAGGCCTAATGGAGATGGGAAAAGGGTTTTCCTGGTGTGAGAAAGTGTGTGTTCCTGCAGGAGGGAATAAGAAGGTCTCCAACTTTGTAGATTCTCAGCACAAATGACTCAAAACTCTCCGGAATAGAGAGTTGGCGGTCTGTAGTGTTTTATTGGTGCACGGCTCTCACTTGTCTAAAACCTTCTTCCTCTTCGCAGGGCTCAGGCTTTCCAGCTGTAAACTGGGCTGGTTGATATACAGTACCGCCAAACTGAAGTAGGAGTTCCACACCTGCTCTCACACACACACACACACACACACACACACACACACACACACACACACACACACACACATTAAAGCATATCCATTAGTAATATTTCAGAGTGTGTGAACATTAATGTTAGCAGCCACATTAGCTCCACTGATTCATGATGATTCACAGTTTTCTCTCCCGGTAGAAAAGGGATTCGAGCCGACGATGCAGTCTGGTGCCATGGTCTGTGATGCAAATCCCCGACCAGCTGAATGTTACATTCCTCATGTTTTTGTCATTGAAAGTGAGAGATATATTCAGCCTTATATTCATGTTGAAATGGCCCATTTTGAGGCACCTGTGGCAGATTAACTGAGCAAAGGGACGGGGAAGCCTCACAGACTTCCAGCGGTTTGAATTAAATCTCATACCAGACAGTTTGTGGGTGTGTGCGGGGACGACTGTGGCTCAGTTCCACACACGTACCTTAAAATCAAATTCTGCTTCTGTGAAGTTCTTGTGCAGAGCAGGAGACAGATACTGAGCTGTGGTCAGGATGATGCTGCAGAGAGGGAACACACACAAACAGCTGTTGCTAGGGCAAAGTTGTGTGTTACTTAACTAGAGCTGCACAATTAAACAAAACATTATCGTAATCACAATCTGTCCGAGTGCAATATCCAAATCGCAGGAGCTGCTATTTTTTGATAAAGGGAAATGTGTCACAACCTTTTTGTGCAATGTTAGTGCAATAAACATTGTGGAGTTGCAGAGACGCCCCGGCCTACAAATCATATTGCAATCACACTATGATATTTCAATCATGCTTGAGTCAGTGATAGATGCAAACACTGTTAGATGTGTGTGTCCAGGCTGTCGGTGTTTCATTCTTACTTGCTGGTGAGGAGTCTCATGACGTTCCAGTCGCGGGGGAAAATGCTGAGCTTCATCAGATTTCTAAACACACACAGGATCTTCAACAAGAACTCCTGGAGACGGACGATGAAAGAAGAGGAGGGAAGAGTCTCTGAGTGTCAGTTTCTCTCAAACAACGTTCAAAACTGTCATGAGGAATTTTTACTTTCCTATTGTATGTTTGGAGAACTACAGCACCTTCCCTCAGACATCACCTGACACAAAGGCCTTGAAGCACTGTAGTTTACACTTGTATATTTCAGCCCTTAGGAATCTAATTAGTGAGGTTGCACAATGACATGATTGTAATAATGTGTTTCTAGCTGCATGTAGGACGTCAGCTTCCTGTACCTTGAGCTCCTCCTTGCTCTGAAAGTTTTCCATCAGGTGTTGGAAGTGGATGTCTGTCATCTGGCGGAGGAGGGACAGGAGGCAGGACACGTACTCTCCCTGTCAAATGGGGGGAGCGGGGGGGAGGCATGTGAGCCAATCACATGGAAGCAGATGGCGGCACATGAACAGTCCGTGTAAATAAAGCCCATAATAAGACAAACCCTCCGTACAAAGAAAGGTGTAGTGGACAGAGGAAGTAAGGATTAAGACTGAGACTGAGATAAAAGGAGTGAAACATGAATGAAGAATAGTGGAAGTCATGTGACAACCAATCTCTAAAATATATGAAATTATAACAAGAGAAAGAAGAAATCATTCAAGTGCATGTGAGAAAAACTCAGATCTTTTCCAGAAATACATATAACAACGACAGGATGCAAGGAAAGAGCAAAACACAACTTTTAATAAGAATTATTAAGGCATGCAGGGCAGCATGCAAAGAGAGAGGAGGAAGAGGAGAGGGAGGAGGATGAAGACCGAGTCGTGTCTAATGGGAGAGATACCAACAGCTGTGAGGAGACGTGCTGTCAAACTGTTTTCTAATGTTTTTCTGGACGTTTGTTTTTATTCATTTTGAACCTCACTGTGACATATTCTGTCAAAACTGAACTTGTTGTCGTTCAGATGTGAGGAAAGAATTTTCTGATAATATAAAGGGAAAATAAACAACAATAATATATGGCTTAGGGTGGACGAACATGCAGACAGATGCGGGATGGACGAGGGTCGTGGGGGGTGAAGTAGTAGTAGTCGTATTGTTAGTTACTAACAGTGATCTCCGCGGTGCACTGCGGACAGCGTTGACCCCTTACCGCCTCCTGCGATTGGCTCTTGCTCATGATGGACAGCAGGGTCTGCAGGAGGACGTCCAACAGAGACTCCACCATCATCTCCACCTCCTCCTGCACTGACGTGTCCTGGAGGAATGAGGTGAAGGAAAGGTTTGGTGAGACGGTGGAAAAAGGAAAAGGGGAAAGCAGCGAGCAGCGATGGGAGGAGAGAGTGAGGAAAAGGAGAAGAGGAAACAAAAGAGGGAAGTAAGAGGGAGAAGTCGAGTGAAACGTGTTTTATTTGAGTAAGTGTGTTTGTTTATGGCTGGGAGGTTACACTGACATCAGGATTACTGGGGAAAGAAACTTCATTAAAATCTCACATTTGATGCTTCATGAGTTTCTGGGTTAATGACACAAACTCTCAACCTCATGGACAAAAATTAAAGGTTTATATCAACCACGACTGTTTAACAACCTGGAAGGAGTCAAATCTGTTGATCATCTGTTCTGAGTTTAAAATAAAATGTCTCAGCAGCAGCAACTGAACTGGCTCGAGCTCTGGTCCCGATCTTCCTGGAGGATGATTCTTTTTGATTTTGGTGGATTTGGTGACATGTTTTCATTTCAAAATTTCCACTTCTACCAAACACAATCAAATGTGTGTGTGTGTGTGTGTGTGTGTGTGTGTGTGTGTGTGTGTGTGTGTGTGTGTGTTACCAGTGAGCTGGTCTTGATAATAGAGAATATCGAGCTGAGTATTCCAGAGCAGATGAGCAGCTCTTTCTGCTGCCTCAGATGGAGATGGATGTGATGCAGGACCACAGGAAGCAGGATCCTTCGAGACTCTGAGGACACAAACACAAACACAAACACAAACACACAAAGACATTTATTTTGGTGTTGGTTCATCCAGAACACGTTCCCCTTTCATATCACAGAGGATGAATCGGAGAAAACAATAAGATGTGTTTGTGTCTTTACTAAAACCCTCACCTGGGAAAGAGAAGAGCCTGCTGTCCACAGTCCGGGCTATGGACTGCAGTTTGACCACATCCATGGACTGTCCTATGTGCACCGTGGACGGCATGCTGCCCAGAGTGCCGCGCACAAACTCTGCCACTTCTTGCACCGTGAACATCTGCAGCAGCTCATCGAAGATCGCAGGGAACGAGTTCAGCAGAGCGGCCTGAGGGAGAGGAGGGAGAGAGGGGGGAGTGAGTGACGAGGGAAGAGGGGGGGAGATTTACAGAGAGAAAAGGAAGAAGAGAGGAAGAAGAGAGGGAGACTGGGCTGCATTGTTAGGCAGCTTCTGTGTTTGTAGTGGAGAGAAATGTGACCAAGACTCTGTAATACAGCCGAGCTGAGAAAAACAGTTTCATCACATCCAGTGGAGTCCAAAGTGGCCTCAGACTCTTGGCCTCCACTGATCAGGTGTGTGCTTCATGCAGGTGAACATGACAGTGTCCCGGGGAAGTTTACTATTCAGGCTCCATTTCATGACACAGTTTTAAGCCAATCACCTGGTATTAAGTGCCGACTTCATGTTCTAAAATTCATTAAATGAAATGTACTTTACATGGAGGCTGTTCACCATTTGAGAGGGACACAGGAGAGTGAACAAGGAAAAACTCATTCATTAGTAGATTAGAAATCACAGCAAGATTAAAAGGGAGCGATTAAGAAACGACAAAAAATAGGAAAGGGTTAAGAAGACAGAGCGTCAAAAGCAGCAGAGAAAAGTCATTAAAAACACACAGAGAAGCTACAAGTTTTAGTAACAGCACAATAAAGACGGTGCAGCAGAAAAGACTTTAAAACAGTTTGAGTTTCCTGTCGACAGGAGTCGGTCTCTGTCGCTGTACAGAATGAGATTCAGGAGGGACGGTGGTTGTGCCTGGACACGGGTGTGTTGCTCTGACAGGAAGCCAACACTCAACCACAGATTCAATGAAGACGCGTTTCAAGGCCGACGTGCCTCTTCTCCAAGAGCAAATATCATGTTTCAGCTACTGGATCGATTCACTATCAACTTCTCTGATCATTAATTTCACTTTGTCTATAAAATGTTTTAATTTCCTGACTCAAAATTTCCTGCAGAGATGTCACAAATTATTTGTTGTGTCCAGATGGAACCAGAGAATATCTGACATATTTTTTATTAAACAATGACTTCAATGAAGAGCTGAAAGTGTGTGTGTGAGTGCAACATGACAGGAAGCAGCTGGTGGCAGTGAAAACATGTTCTGAATCAGGTCTAATTATAGTTACGGGACTTTGATCGGTCAGTAAAGGTCATCTGAGGAAGGTGTGCCTGTGTATGTGAAGGCAGTCGGGGTGGTGGGGTGGGGGTGGTGGTGAAGGACCACAAGTGTGTGCGTGTGCGTGTGGTTAGGCTCACAAACAGCTGAACAGGTGAATGAGGACTCTGGGCTTCACACAGGGAGCGGGGGTGTTCTGGTTTTCATCCGGACGTCTACTTACTGACAGTGGAGACGGCCGCAGAGCGTTGGAGCTCCAGGCCTGAGTGCAGTTGGCTTGCCCGCTGCCAGGAGCCTGTCCTGGGGCAGGGGGCTGGGCTTGGCCCAGAGCAGGGGCTAGTGCTAAGGGAGCAGCAGGCCCAATGCCAGGGCCTGGGGCTTGATTTGTGCCTGGACAAGACTGGGAGGCCTGTGGTGCATGGACGTGGAGGGAAGAGGCCGAGGAGGAATAATAAGGACCCGATGGATGGAGCAGAGCATAGTGGGAGATTGAAAGAGAAGGTGAGGGAGGGAAGGAAAGAAGCAAGGAGAGGGCCGAGGTACAAGTAGAAAGAGGTAAATAAAGGAGATAAAAATCAGATTAAAGCAACTAACAGAAGCTGGGAAAGAAGCTCAGGAAGAAACTAAACTATAAGCAAATACAATTCAAAAATCTCACAAACTACAAAGACACAACAAGTCGCAGTTACATTTCAGCTGTGAAAAAAAGGTGATTACTTCATCAGAGAAGCACATCAAATATCTATTATTTTCACACTTGATGCTTCTTTGAAAAAAAAAAGAAAAAGAAAAAAAAAAAAGACCTATAAACAAAACATGATGAAGAAACTGTCGAACTTGTGCTGTTCCCTTACCTGTGTGAAGATGAGGGTCTCTGAGTTGCGGCTGTCCAGGCTGAGGACGAAGCGGATCGACTGAAAGAGTTCCTGGATGCTGGTGCGAAACTGCTCCTCCTCCATCCCACACGTGGCCCGAGAGTAAAGGATCCGAGACTGGACAATAAACTTAAACAGGTACTCCAGGGCCTGAGGGGAGACAGGGAGAAGAAACATCAATACAACATCAATAATGTTTTAAACAAACAAACATAGTCAACTTGGAGATTTATCGTCCAGGTCACTTGTTTTATCGACACATTAACGTTCTGGTGAGACACAAAAAGTGAAACTGAAAAACTGAAGAATAAGACAGATACAGGCTGAAACTGTGGACACACACGCACACACACACACGCACACACACACGCACACACACACGCACACACACACACGCACACAGACTTGTTCACACAGACTTGTTAAAGATGGATTAAAGAAAACTCAGATCTGAACCCACGGCTGCAGCATGTGTCAAAACTATCCTCAATAATTCACATCGTCCACTTTTACCCGACAGTGTGACCCATTTGAGACAGATGTTTGAATCTGATAAATATTTCAAAGTGCTGAGCGGCATTTGTCTGTGAAATGTGTTACATTCTGCTCATGTGCTTCAGATGGAACATCTATTCTGAGCTCTGCCTACAATGTGAGGCGATGCTGAATGTATGCAGTCAGCTTTCTGTCTGTTTACAAGGGGAAGTGGGAAGAACGGGAAAGGTGTAAAAATGTTGATAAAGCTTTATGGTTGATTTTTTTTTTTTTTTTTACATTAAAACACTGTGCACATGAGTCGGTGAGGAGAAGAGGAGATGAAGCGTGTCAGACATCAGAATAAGGATGAGGATCTCTGCAGCTGCTTGTTTGTTTGTGAAAAACACATTCGTAGATCCAGTCGGTGTTTTTTGTTCAGCAGGTGACTGTGAGACGCCTCCGGCCTGAACCAGTCGCTCCTTCTCTCTTTACATGACCCATAAAAACTAAACAAAGATGGAAGCCTCATATTTGGCAAAAAAAAAAAAATTAACATTTTTTGGAAAACAGAACTGCATAAAAAGTAGGACACAAATATAAACACAGCTATGAAGTAACATGCAGAGATTTAGTTGAGTAGCTGATCTCATCATGCAGTGTGCAGCCTGTGGGTGTGTAATGTAAAATGCAATGACAGCACATGTTGTTTAACATTCACCTCATTCACAGCATTAGCTATTACGTAACAGCTCCTGTTAATCGTATAAACTATTTCACCTCTTCAGTCAGGTCACAAGCGACAACTCAGCTGAACTCGTTCAGGAAGCTTCATATGAACTCTTACCCTCATGGCTTCCTGTATGTGATCCTGCCTGACCACCTCTGCAGAGCGGTCCATGTACCACTTCAGGCAGCGGATCAGCTCTCTGAAACACAACAGACATTAAACACTGCATCTGAGCCAGTGTGGTTTTTCTGTCTGAGATTTACCCAGGCTGTGAACACAACACTGACATATCATATATCAATATCAAGCTGATATTGTGAACTTGTTAACAAACAGCTGTTTATTTCCACATCCAGCAGCTACAGAGCAACACGATGATTCGTGTGGAGTTATGTTTGTGTCATCTGATGAATTAAAGTCCAGTGTTAACTCTCTTTCTTTGTGTGTTTGGTCTCCTGAGGGAACTATCTATTTCTTTAGCTGCTAAATGCTCCACTATGTTCACCAGCCGCTCCCTGACTGAGTCCGTCTGCTACTGAACAGGAAGTGGTCAGCAGCAGTGGAAAACGTGTGCCTGCTGCCGCTGAAAACCACACAATGAGAGGGGTGAGAGTCAACCTAGTAAAGCTGTGTGAAGCTGACGACAGCTGCAGATTCAGTAACTCTCTGAACACTACAAGTGACTCCTTTCACATGGTCACACTTTCATACAGTGTAATTATAAAAAATACTGGTTAAAGATGCTTTAAAGAAATAATAAGCAACAGGTTCAGAACACAGTCAGCACCAATTTAGAGAAATAGGTGTTGGCTGTCTTTGTATAATAATTAATAATAATATATATTATAATGCAACAGATGCACATGGCTTTGGTCTGAAGTGGTCATAAATTCATCAACATTTCAAATCATAAACAACAAAAAAAATTATCAGAATATATCAGATATCACACTTCTATGAGACATCTGAGGTGAATTGTGATTATTGGGAAACCTGGATAACAATAAACGAATGTTACCCATGTGCATGTGAATGTACTTGCAGAGACACTTCAGGATGTGGTGTTTGCAGAATTAGTAAAATGAAAGTGAGGGATAATGACAGTAAATACCATTCTGAGAGGGATATTCTGAACACAAACATGAAATCAAGAACACACACACACTTGTACCTGCAGAGTATTAGTCAGAGTGAAACACTCACTTGTAGGCCAGTGCACCGGCAAAGTGTTTCTGGATGTACGTGTCCATCACCGGCCTGAAGTGGTAGTATTTACTGTCCCTGAGCAGGTTTATGATGAATACCTGAGAGAGAGAGACGTTTAGATTGTAATATACGTGACACAATACTGACACTGAGTCACTTCTGTTATTGGACTGATTCTAAGAGGACTCCAGCTCTTAGTTGATATTCTCAGTTTCACTCAGTCACATTGTGTCTTACCAATGACTGGAACACCAGTGGTCCATATTTGTCCGTGTTGTCGTCCAAGATGGAGAATAAGGTGTCCAGAATGTCTTGGAGAAACTGCCACACACACACACACACACACACACACACACGGGTCATTAACTGTGACCACCTGTTTATGGGTCAGTTGATCTAACCATCCCTCTGCATAGCTTTACTGTAACACACTTGAGACATAAAACAGTAACTACAGTACACACCCTTTAAAATGTAAATAGAAGAAATTTAATTTAGTATACACCAATTCAAAAACAAAAAGTTCCTTTCAAAACTGTTTTTTTTTTTTTTTGGTAACGCTAATTCACAAAATGGTTCATTTTCTTCTGATGATACATTTCTCGTTTATAAAAAAAAAACGGGGGAAAAATGAAAGTGTCTTTTTTGGTCAATCATGAAATCAACGGTGTGGTGCCATCTGCCAACTGAACTGACTCACAATACAGGCAGCCAGTCTTTCCATGTAAAGAAACTGTATGACTAATAAATCTTACCATACACATTTCTAAGAAGCAGTACATAATGGTTGGGCACTCTTAATGAGGGGAACTATATTTGTCTTACAACACTGAGAATAACAAAAAAAATAAAAATAAATTTGACAACAGGCTGCTCGCAAACAAAGCAACCACAAAACCAACTGTGGTAAGTTCAGATCAGTATTCTGAGAAATCACACGTGTTCAGAAACACCAGACAAAAGCTGCAAGAGGAAGTGTTACTTCACACGGAGAAAGATATGATCCTGTGGTGGCTCACTGCCAGTAATGCCTCTGGATGAAAGCAGTGAAGCAACAATAATTTCTGTGCGTTTATGTGCTGACACTGCAGTTACATAGTTTGAGCATCTGATTCACAGTGACTATTCTTTTTTAGCTTCCTGGAGAAGTTGATGGAAGTAATCCAGAATCCATATCAACCTAGGAGCAACACGTGGATTAAAGACTTCTTGTCTGACTGAACCTCACCTTCACTATCTCCTCTCCACTGACGTGTCGTAGCCGGCCGAGAATGTCCATGACCCGGTCCGGATGGGCCTTCCACTTGAGCAGGGCCAGGAGGTCGACTGAAAGACCACAGCAAGTGTCAGAAAACGTGGTGACAGCAGTAAAGAAAAGCACTGGTCAGGCCCTCCGTAGTTTACATAAAACACCAGGGTCCAGTATCCACACACAGAAAAGATGGATGAATAAAAACAGAGCTAATTTCATTGTTCTTAAGAACAAACAATCACAACATACGAAGGGGGCTTCCCCTGTGATTATCATTAGATCAACTGTTCTGCATGCAGGTCCCACGAATGAATGAAGGCAGAGCTTTAAGATCTCACCCGGACACTTTAAAAACAACATGGGATCAGCTGAGTACCGTTCTGAGTGAGCTTGGTGGAGGAGAGCTGTGTGGAGATCCAGAAGGTCTCCTTGGTGCTGCGCTGGAAGATGAGGCTGGAGGGGATGCTGGGGCAGCTGTTGAAGTCTTCTTTACAGCAGGGCAGGCCCAGGTAGAGGGCGTGGTTACTGAAGGTCGTGTTCTCGTCACACTGAGGCCAACGGGAGCCGGGAGTGAGATGGAGACAAGGAACGGTAAATTATTTAAAACAGGAAACATCTGCAAATTCACAAATCTCAAACTAACACAACTGGTGACGCAGTTGTATAGAAGCACATTCTTGGTGAGTCCATACCTTTGGTGGGTTGTTTTCCTCTGAGACACTTTGAATGCCAGTAATTCACTTTTAAATAATCCTGAATTTTGACAGTTCGACAGCATGCACATCGAACTAGATGATTTTTCACTTCATAACCAGCTCCACCGTCAGTGGTTCACTGCAGAATCATTCTTACTGGAAACTGATCAATCATGTTGTTTACGCACATTGTTTTACAGTGGATTCCTGTGGTGTGACTAGTATAGTGTAAGTGAGAGACCCGCTGATGATCAGGCCAATGTTTAATTAATGGATACGGGAAAATGTAAAGAAAACGTGCAGTAATTTTAAAAATCCAACTTCACAGTTTGTACAAAAACATATTACATATAATAATAGAAACACAAATAAATACTATGCTGGAATTTTATGCTCTTAAGGTTGATGACACTTGTAAGAACCCACTGGATGTCACTCTGTTGTCAGAACAGGAAGGCCAGAAATAAACAGACGAAAAAGCAGAAGCAGTAACACAGCAATTTCGTCTGACCTTGTAAACGTAGAGTTCATGGCTCTCGTCTGAAAGAGTGGTTCCATCCTCCCTCATCAGGGGAGTGAAGGCAAAACCAAACAGCTTCTTCTCTCCTTTGTCCTTTGCTGTGGAGTGAAAGAAAATGGAGAAATGAGGAGAGAGAGAAAGATATACAACAGAGAGAGGCAGAGGGAGTTTAGAGTGAAGCAAATTTTTTTCCCAGCTTTGCTTTTATTGCTTGTTTTGGTAAATAATGTATTAAAATTAGGACAAGAAAATGACATGAAAACAGGTAGATGATAATCTCAACTCTGGTATCAGCTGCTCTAGTCGTCATTTCACTACTGTGAAGATACAGGAGACAATAGTCAAACCACTTCAGCAACATATTGTTTATGTTGATCTCACACTGTTTACTGTCACTGTATTATCTCTGCAAGTACAATTAGCGTTTGATGTCATGTCAAAAAATATGAAAATGTACCACAGCCTCTCTTAGTGACATGGAGTTACTCACTGGAGCAGTGTCTGAACTCGAAGCGTAGGTGGGACCCTCTGAAACGGTCGATGGGAATCGGCAGTTTAATCACTTCGCTCCATCGAGGGCTGTTGTTATGGTAGAGGACGAAGGAGCGGTGCTCTGGCATGTTGGGCTCCCCTGAACCCAGACAGATGCAGTCCTGCAGAGAGACAGAGAGAGGGACAGAGGGATTAACATACATCCTAACAAAGAGCTTCACACCTACCAACATTTAATCGTCTCTCTGGTGCACGTGCTTATTTTATGTTTGCCACTGGATCAGTGTTTTGAGGGATGTAATTTCATCACTGCCTCTTCCTGACACTGTTTTTGTTTCATGTTTTTGTTATGTTTGAGAAAACGTGTAGATGTTTGTGGAATCAGTTGTGCCACTTGTCGCACACATACAGCTCAAAAGTTAAAAAGCGGCTGGATTTGGTGAAGTACAGGAGGCTCAGTCATTTCTTTGCAATGATCATTTTTAACTTTGAAGAAATTATTCAGTCTCGTTTTATCTTTGTTGATTCTAAATGTTGGTGTCAGGAAATCAGGTTGTTGTGGCAGCTCTGTTACTGGCTTTATTACACGGGCAGCTTGATGAACACCACTGCTATTCCCAACAGAACTAGATCAATAGTATTACGACTGAATCATAAACATATAAATTACAGTTCTTCTGAATTGCTAAAACACTAAATTCATCTCATTTCACTTTTTTGCAAAAACTCTAAACACATTTTCACTCACTAAAACACACTGTGCACTGTGATTCACTCATGACGCATAATGGTAACCAATGATAGCAGTGGCTAAACACAATTACAGCACAGATGTCACAGCTTACACACAATAACTCAAAACTGTTCATACTTTTTGCTAATTATTTGATGAAACCAATATAAGCCAGTTCAGAGTGCACAGGTAGCTGAAGGTTGAAGATTGAAAGAAACAAATGGAGGAAAATAATCTGAGAGAGGAAGGAGGAAGTGCAAGTTCAAGAACAGACCAAGAACAGTAATTTCAGATGAAATTTGTGTGTGTGTCTCAGTGTGCCGTGTGTTACGGTAAAGCTATACAGGGGGTTGGTTAGATCAGCTGACCCACAAACATGTGGTCACAGTTAATGTGTGTGTACTTGGAAATGCTACTTAGTGAGGCCCAAAAAACTATTTTCGTAACATCACTTAACTTTTGCAGCATCTCTTGAATTCTGGCATAATTCTGGTGCAGTGCTGTTGTTGTTCAATTAGTATCTGAAAGACTTTTCAAAGTCTTTATCCTATGGTTGTCATTAGGCTGTAAACCTGCTGTAATTCTCTGCTAACGAGATGTGGATTCAGAAGAAAAATTTGAAAGTGTCTGTACAAAGATCAAAATTTCCTCAAGTCTCAAGGCAGCAGTTAGTTTCTTTTTTTTCACTGTAAACTGCTTATACACAAAAACTTTATATATCAAACAATGTCTGAAACCTGCAACTCAAACAAAAAAAAAATCAACACACCAAATCTGCAAAAAACCAAAAGCTGATTCTGAGTCTTTAACTCAGTTTTCTATGTCATAAAACCAGTGGCGGCTGGTGAAAAATATTCTAGGTGGGGCTGTTTGTGCCAGAAGCTTTCGGTAACTATCCCAATAAAAGAACCCAAACCAAAAGATACCATTGTTTTAAGGATAAACAATAATTATTTAATTGCCCTTTAGAAATCAACAGTTTGACAATGATATGAGATGCATATTAGTGAATACTCTTCATACAAAATTAAATTTCTTGAGACATTTACAGTTGGATGATGATTAAAAATAACTACATACAAAGAAAAACTGTGTCATAGGAACATAAAATGTAGCAATTGGATTAAATACATTAGTGAATAATAATAAAAAATTACAATATAATGGTATTTTATTATAATATTTACAGGTGGATGGTGATTAAAGTGAACTATACACAGAAAAACTGGCACAGGAACATAAAATGTACCAATTGGAGTCTAACCAGCATTTATGTCTCACTCCCTTGAAACCTGGGGACTGTGTGCAAATACTGAGTCGTATATGTGTGTGTTTTTTTTGTGTGATTGAGTGAGTGAGTGAGTTTTATGATAAAACACTTTTTGCAAAACACTACACACAATTCTCTACCTGAAAGGCACAAAGAGAGAAGAAGGGTGGAGACTCGCTTCCAGTCTCTCATGAGATAAAGGCCACACTTACACTTCATGTCATCAACCACAGGTTGCAGTTTTTTCACTATTGCAAAAACACAGTTCCTGAAACTAGGGCCCTGGTTGTAAAAGCTCCACACACACAAAATACAAAACATCTTACATCTCTTGCAAAAGTAAGCACTACATCAAAAACTAAATTAACTCTTCTAAATATGATACATTAGCTTCAGAACTTTACACACAAACAACAAATATATAGATCTTTCCACCGCCAACTGCACATGACTGTGTTAAATCTAAAATATTTTTCACATTTCTACTTTTCTAATAGTATAAAGAGTATAAAAAACACTATTACTGTATGTTTTTTTTTTTTAGATATTTTTCATTTGGAGCATACTGTAAATATGAACACAGATGCAATGGGGAAACAAAATCTCTCTATTCTCAATAGTGAACCGAAGATGACATGAACATACTGTACTGTAAAACACAGTAGGCCTATCGTGTCTCTGCTCCAATCTGTAAGAATTGTCCTAACTTCTTCTGACCCGTCCTCTCGCCACTCCCTGTCCTGTGTCTTGCTCCTCTTCCTATTTCTTCTCTCGCTCTTCTTCCTCTTACTCGACCACGTCTTCCTCTAATTCTCTCCAAAATAGTCCTCCATTGTTGGTCACACCAAAGAGAAAACCTGACTCACATTTATGGTGACCAAGCTGTGATTTCTGTGTGATCTGAGTGTTTACATGTGTCCTCACGTGCATTCTGAGTTCAGGTGATTGCTAATTGAAGGTGGTGTTTCAGTGGCAGTGTTTAGCAATTAACACACAAAGGCTTTTAATTTTTAATGAGTCTAATGTGGAGAAGAATGTGTGTATAGTTCTGCAAATCTGGGGATTTGGTTCCTTGTGTGTCAAGTTTCAAAATATGTGCATTATTTTTAATTTTAGTGTGTAAGCAATCGTAAAAAACTGTAAATGTGAGAGAGACTGGACTGACAGTCCAACCCAACATGAGTCCATTTACAGCAGCATCTATAATTCAAAGCTTCAGAAATGAGAACAGGTATGTCTACAGGTTACTTCAGCATTACTGCATTGTGTTACAGAAAAACATTTGGTTTCATGGTTTCAGGTCAAAGTGTTGTTGTGGTATAATGAGCAGGAGACTACTGATGACTAACATGATAGTTATGGCTGTACAATTCATGAGTGGTTATCTGCTCTCAGCCTGTTGCGCCCCTCCAGTAGTAGAGAGGTATAGGCTGTGACCGGGTTTCCGACAAGTCACGTGGTCACAGCTGTATGACTGCGACTACCCAGAGTCAGGAAACGTAAACTGTGAAGTGCCGCCGGCTGCAGACGAATCGTTAAGATACTCTGGAGCTACTAAAGCCGTAATGGAACCTGGACTAAAGTTTTTCTGGCTCCTGACTCTGAGTATAAAGGCGTTTGGCCATAAACAAGGTGAGAAACAGCAGCCGATAACCTGCGTTGACCGATTCGTCGATATGAACATACAATAGACACGCGCGGAATTAGACAAAATAATAATAATAATAATAATAATACCACACGCCATGTAGACGGGGTTTTAAAGGCGGAGACGGAGGTGAGCACCTGCCGACAACTACGGTCGTAGCTCTAAGTGTCATCGCGGCTTTTTCGAGTAAAAAATAAAGTAATTAGCTTCCTTCATCACACCACCTGTTCAACAAGATTTAAACACTAACAAAGCCTTTATTTTCAACTTCTCCATCCACCGCGGTTTGTTTTTGTGAACTCAAGCTGCATCGCCGGAGGGCTTGCAGGAGCTCCTTAAAGCATCCGTGCCCAGGGGTTAAGAGTAAGGAGAGGACATGTACTATATTTTTAATATGCATTCCTAATTGTGTCCATTGTGTGAAGCCAGAGACCAGGCAACAAGCACACAGTATGTGTCTGTAAGTCACGTGTAGGGCAGACGTTGAAAATGTCATGTAAATAGAATGATGATTGCCACTCAAGAGAGAGTCACTTCTTGTTTTCAGAAGTTGGCGCTGTGACTATGACTTGATATTAGTTTGCAGATATATCTACAGTGTCAGACGGTCATCTTGCATGTTAAAGACAGAAGATATTGCACGTTACTTTGCAAGAGTCTTCACGTGACATGTGCCTACCGATATTCATGCTTGTAGGTGAAACAGAGCAGGGGCTCAATTTAAAAAAATAATAATTTTTTTTAAATCAACGTCCATGTGAATTGGAAGATTGGGGGAGTATAAAGTAATAACAGTAAGACATAGTTAGCACAGTACACCCATTATCAGGTGTGATATTATATGATTATGATATTGAGATTATGCTCCTTTGCATTTGCATTGCACTTGTAGCTGGCAAGTCCTAAAGATTTAAAGTGAGTAAAACTGTATAATTTTTTCCTGTTTTAAAAAAAAGGCTTGACAAAAACTAAAACATCCTTTTTATGTATCATGTGTTGAAACAGGTTTCTTATTTAATCAACCACAATACAACTAGAGCATGAAAATGTTTAAGAATAATTAAGGATATATAGTGCATTCAGAAAGTATTCAGACCCCTTAAACTTTGTCACATTTTGTTATGTACACTCGATCTAATTTTCTGCTTCAACTTGATTATTCAGCTCAAAAATGTCCTGAATAATACATATACTTTTCTCTTCCCTGGCCAGGTGTCATCAAAGTGAAAGTTGAAGAAGGGAGTGATGCCATTTTGCCCTGTTCCCTCATCACCAAGGAGAACATTGAGTCGAAGCTGTTTGATTGGAAGAAGGACGGTCAGATGGAAGTTTTCCTGTATGATAATGGCAATAATTATAATAACGGCCGCTTAGGTCAAGATGACCAATTCAACGGTCGCGTCTCACACTTTGAAAAAGAACTGAAGTACGGCAACGCCTCCATACTCATCAGACATACGAAGATGGCTGACAGTGGAAACTACAGCTGTGATTTTCCACGTCTCCGGCAAATATTTCGCATTTGGCTTGTTGTTGGTGAGTACATTCTGCATACTGTTGCATAGCTTTAATTCTGGTTTTCTTGTCTACAGTTGTCTGTCTTCCAAACCACACCATGGTTAGCTCAAGTTTGAAAGTAGGGCTGTATAGGGTATAGGGCTCAGTATATAGTAGTAACACTTGTAATACTACCGGTAATACTAAAACATTATAAGTGAAGCTGGATATTTTCCCACTAGTGTTTTAACCTGTGATTCTTCTTTTTTCTTTGGATTCATCCTACGCTGACCTGCTTCAACTATCTACTTTGTCCTGCTGCAGAGTCGTCTGATTTGTCTTAGCTTTCTGCTTTTATCTGTAAATCAGGTAACTAACAAAATTGCTTCTGCTGCATTCTCTAACCTCTTCCATTACATTTATCCATATTCTACCTTTGGGCTCCACCTCAGCTTTCCGATCTCTGGAGAATAACTTGAATTTAATCCGAGCTTTCCATGTTAACATTTGTAACAAAGCCATAGCTTTGCGAGATGGGTTCTTCATAACCAAAGATGCCCACCTTCATGTTTTACCTCTCCACACACTCCAACACTCTAATATGCCTTTTAGATCGTGACCCACAGCGCCCTACCTTAGAAGACAAATCAGGAAAAATCCTTGGTGAGTGGTGCTATATATATACAATACAATATATCGTGCAATGATAATTATTTACTTAATGATCTAAAGTTCATGCTGTATTTTCCACTGTTATACATCTACCATAATAATAAAAATAAGACTTCAAATCCTGATTTTGTAACTGACATCGTCTGACAAAATCACCAAACACCTAAATTAAAGACAACTGTGTTAAAGTCGTTGTCGTGTTAAAGTTACTGTTCTACATGTTCATACAAACTCAACACTTCCTGTAACCGTTTCCCTGGGCAGACACCCTTTATTCCTTTTATCATTCATTTTATATTTATATCATTCCTTTTATTGTTGTGCTGCAGTAAGCGTTATTGTCTCATTTCCAGCTGCTGATATTTCTGTTTATATGTTATTTCAGATATACTAGTTTCTGTAGCAGTTACTGATCAGCCCCCCCCCCGCTCTCTCTGCTCCATGTATCTTATGTTTAGTTATTCCTCTGCCTGCTTTAGTAATAATGATTCATGTAATGAAACCCTCTCTAAATGTCTTTGATAAGGTATTTAATACAGCTACTGCTTCATCTGCTTTGTTTTTCTGCTGTCTGCTGATTTCTGACAGAAAGACTTTACTGAAAGAAATTACAATTCCAGCCATTTAAATGTCCTTCACAAGCTCTTCTTTTTACTCACAGGTGCGGCTCCAAAGCCATGTATCACCATTGTTAATAACACAGAGGATGGGATGCTGCTGATGTGTGAGGTTTTCAGAGCTTTTCCAAAGCCGACACTGGAGTGGCTGGACAGTGATGGAAATGTCCTCCCTGCTGACCAGCAACACGACCCAGAAAGAAGCGGCCACTACTACGTTACCCTCCTCATCACTGTGACCAAACGCCTCCGCTGTGTAGCCAAGCAGGAGGCCATCGACCACATGACTGATGCAGAGATCCATGGACTTGTCTGTGGTGAGAGTTCTTGCACAGCTTTAAAGCTACAGGATTTATCTGGATTTAGTGCACCTACTAGAGACGAAACTGTTACCAGTTTCACACTACATCACGGTAGAAAGCAGATAAACAGTGAGCTGTAGCTGCTCAGCCTCTGTGTGAGACGCCTCGGTTGGTGATTGTGTGTTTTTAAAAAGGGCTGCAGCTCACTGTTTTATTCCCGACTGCAGTGTAGCCGCTGTGTTTCTGGTTTAACAGCACCGTGCTGGACAGGTGACAGGTGTGTCTACAGTGTCTGTCTCTGAAAGACGTAACAGCACAGAAAATAAAACATTTGACTGATCATTTTGCTCAATATAATCGCAATACTAAATTTCTGTACCGTTTCATGTCTAGCACCTACACTGTAGGTATACATATGATGTGTAAAGCACATGAACTGAGATTTATTGATGTGCATTCAACAGTTACAGCATAGTAATGAAGTTTATGATTATAGCAAGTCATTTGTTGTTGCTGACTCACTTAACACAGATAATGCTAAAAGAAGGGATTCAAAAGCTCAGAGTAACGATAAATGACTAGTTATAATGCATTTAGTATTTACTTATACTGATGTGAAGTAAGGTCAGGAGCAGACTAAATTAATAATAATAAAATAAACTAGTAGAGCTTTTCTGAAATTACTCGCATTTACATACAGAGTACATTTATAACAGTGACTATGGTGTATCTGCCCAGTTTGCTTTGCATACTGTTCTGACTGAAATGCACCAAATATTTTTTATCCCCCTCAAATGAATTAACTTAAAAATATTAAGGTAAAAACAACAGCCAGATTGACATGTTTTTCCTGTGATAGACCTTCACACTACAGAGACCGACAATTTGCTATTAATTGAGTTAATTACGGTAGACAAATTATTTGTTAATCACACATCAAAGGTAATGCCAAGGGAGGAGTAGTACTACATATTCCAACCTCTTTTAAACCCAGTGTAAAGTTAACAATAAAGCACAATCAGCATCTGTTAAGTTACAAATTCACAATTTTGAGAATGACATTATCTTTTTAGGTGTTTCAGAGAATCTCTTCACTGCCAAAGAATGGATGCTGGGAATTTTGGTTGGAGTTGCTATTGGAGTTTTTTCAACTCTTATAGTTGTGTATCTACTTCTATCTCTGTGTGGAGCTCCGAAATGTTTCACAAAACAATCCAACAAAGGTAAGTTTAATATAATGTATCTTAAAAATGATGCTCAGTTGTCAGTTTATTAGGAACACCTAGCTAAAACATGCAGTTTAATGCAACAGTCCTGCAGTGAATCCTCCTCCATCATTAGATGCTACTTAATTGCGTTGTAGACTTAATTTTAAATGGAAAAATTGCCATTTTAGCCATGAATCTTCAATCAATAACCCACAATAATACTAAAAAACCAAAATCTCTCATTTACAAAAGTTTTCAGACCCTTTGCTGTGATACTCCAAGTTTACTTTAATTATCCTTGAAATGCATCTAGATCTTGACTGGAGTCCAACTGAACTGATTGGGCATAGTTTGGAAATTAACACACAACTGTGTTTGTATTTATTTGTTTTATTTGTTCCACAATTTACCCTGCATGTCAAGACAAAAACCAAACCATGGAAATCTCTTACACCTTTTCCATCAGGGCAGTTTGAGGGCCAGTTTGGTGCTGATGCCTGATCTCAGTCCAGTTCTTCACATTTTTACAGCCAAAGAACCAGCTCTTAGCCAGGAAAACTGGATTGAAAGTGGCACCAACATTTTGTTGGTCTAGAACCAAGAAACATTTGCATCAGGGTCTGGGGGGGTGGGATTATCATGACCAGCAACCAACTAAAACTTGCGACCACCATTTAAAAAAAAAAAACACCAGAGCTAGAGTATGCAAACATGAATGAGTCTGAATACTCTCTGAAGCCTCCGTATATTATTGATCTCACCATTAATTTCCTTTATAGCTGCATTAATTAATTAAATTTTTTTATTTTTTTTACCATTTGCAGATTCAGAAAAACAAAATGGTACTTCAGGAAAGACACATCAATGTACAAATGGTGTTTCAGAAGAGCCGTCCTTTTAACAGTTATTAACACGTGTATAGTTTTATGGAGTTTTTTGATGCTGTATATAAAATAAAAATCTAAATGTTTTGATAATAAATTGCTATTTAAAGATATTGCTTTCTATTTATTGGCTTCTGCACTTCTCCAGAAACTTTCAGTGCTTGAAACTAAGATACATAATGAATAACTGATGCAGAATTGAATCGACTGTGTGGGAAGGACTCAACAGTGGCCTAACAAATGAATGCTAACACATGGCTACAGTACACAACATGGATACAAACTCCAAGGAAGCAATGCAGACAAATTAAAGCCGACCAACACTTTCACACACAGACTGCAGAGTTGAGGTTTAATAAACAGTGAGAGATTTAGCCATTCATAACAATGTCATGGGTTAATTTCTGGTCGCTGCAGTTTGCACAAGACCTGGATCTGTAACTGTAGTTTCATACACATCTGTATTAAACTTCACCTCAAGGATGTACCTACCAAACAATACTGTTGTTCATTTAATGAAAAATTGTCACTGTAATATTTGTGTATAAGAGATAAGAGTCCTCTTAATATACATGATTGAGACATATAGGAATCATTTATTTATCTGTGTCAAAGCAAAGAGCAGAGAAGTAGAAAACCTGCTTTAAGCTTTAAAAAAAATAAGCAGAAACTCGTGTTTATCTTCATCTTCTGTGCTCCAAAAGATGTAAAAGCTTTTGTATACACTGTTCTTAGTTATTGCCCCATTTATCATTTTAAACAGGATAGATGTGAAGAGCCTCAAGCTGTGTCGTATATGTATCATGTTATTGCACCTGCATTGCGATATGTTAGAAATGAAAAATAATTCCTTTATACTTGAAATCAAAACCTTGAATACAGTAAAGTTTACAAAATGGGAATCAGCAAAACTATGTGTCCAGCATTTGCTGCCACATGTTTCACCTTTCGTGGCTTCTCGTGTCATGAGGGGTGTGTAGCAGGACCACATCCCTACCTTGAGGATCTCTCCATCAGCATAAAGCACATAGATGGTGACTTCAATGTTCTTCTGGACGCTCTTCCCTCCTCTCTCAAAATCCCCTCGCTCCAGGGTCAGGTACAGGTCATTACGGATATCACCTGGACCAGAACAAACACACAAATAAAACCTTACATTTTGTTTCACATTTCACCTGAGAACAGTTCTGAGATTAACTGTAATATATTAGTCTGATAAATACATAAAAGGTTAATGCAAATGTTTGTATGTCACAGATGCACAAACACACTGCGTCCTCCCAGAGTGAATATTATACAATGTCAATCAGAATCAGAGGGGTTCTCCTGGGTGAATTAGAGCCCAGTACAGTGCAGGTACGTCCTTCAGTGAACTGCCTTGCAGTGAAGTGAACTAAAGCTTTCAAATAAATGTCGTGGAGTAGAAAGAGCAATATTTCCTCTGATGATATGATATGATCACTCGGTCAGTCTGTCAGCAACATTTGCCATTATAGGACTGGCCCCTGCTGTTGTTGTCCAGCCAAAACCACCACAGACACACAAAAGACTATTACAATGAAATAATAAACTCTACAGTGATGTCAAAACGTATCTCTACAATAGCTAATCCTCCATTGTCTCACTTCTCATGACTGAGCACCAGTGTTTGCTAACATTAGCTCATGTATGACATTTTTACATCACTAATGAAGTGACAAGCTAGCACTGGGAAGGAAAGGGCGCGCTATCAGCTAGCTAACATTAGTTAGCTAAACCGTAACTTACGGCTAAAGTTAGAAACTAGCTAACATAGCGTCAATCCGTAGATACTTGACACAGTCTAATTCAGAAACTCTGAAGATAAGAAAGTAAAGTGTATTGTATTAAAAACGCTGGGTAGTTAGCTACTGCTACTTATATTTACCTACAGTATCTGTGCAACGCATCGGACCAGCGATTTGAGGGCGTTAGCCACTAAAGGGCGTGAGGAAGGCAGACGTTACGTTCAGCTAACGTCAAGGTAACGAAATGGTATGGTCCAGTTCAGGGGTGTCTGGAAGCGTATTACAAAATTCTACCTGGCATAAATGATGAATGAATACAGGTAAGTAGGATATATAAATATTTTAACCTCCCTGAACTGTAGCGTTTACCTTTTTTTTTTTTTGAGGGGGTTGGGGGGTGGGGTCTTAATCAGTCTTAATCAGGGGGGTCAGACTCCCCCAATCCCTCCTATAATTCGAACCCTGCTTCCTCCACAGCTTCCATTGTGTCACCTTTTTACAATTTATCACAGGCCTGAATAATCACTGTATAAAGACACATATATGTCCACAAATATAGATGTGGCCACGTATAGATTCTCACACACATTTAAAACTGAATACCTCTGACATGCACAAGACTAATGACCTGTGTTACCGTGTGTGGATTCATTTATCATTTCAGCTTGTCCTTAAAGAAAAGGTGTCACCCTTCATATAACAAGATGAGAGTTAAATACGGGCTCCATCACTGTCCGAGGGGAGCAATGTGCGACCTGCATGTTTAATGTATGTGAAAGAGGTGTGAAGGACACTTCTGCATATGTTATGTGTGCAGGTGCTACTGGAAATGCAGTTTTTGCTGGAAGTGTTAATCCTTTTAATTAAGAGGATTCTCTCTAACATTGAAAGTAATCATCAATATGAATTATACAGCGTCTTAATTTGTCACATTTGTTTTTGTTGGGACAATTTTTACAGTAGGAATCAGAGCAAATGAAAGCTGTTGGCTGTGTGATCTGTGGATTGTAAATCTAGGACGTTGCTTTTTTATTTATCAATCAGAACTTTATGGTGTTTTTCAGCACAAGAAATTAAATTCCATTCATCTCCATTATACTGGGCTTCTAACAGAAGTTTCAAAACCTATGCAAATAAATTCTTTAAATGTGACAAACTAAAGCACAGCCCTTCTCTTTTCCTCAACTCAGTATCATTCTGACCTTTTCTAAATCTGTACAAGAAAACAAGAAAAAACTGAACAAAACTCCTGTTTCACTGCAACTACGTGCAGCTCTGCTGAACTGAAAAGAGCTGCATGTGTTCAGTGGACACCGACACTAAACTGAGTGATGCTTTGCATATAAATCCAGCCAGTGCTTCAGTATGATATATGGCCTCATTCCCCAGACACTGCAAGACTCACACACACACACACTCCCATGTGTGAAATTCTTCAGTGTCTCAATCTGGTTGCAGCCAGTCGGAAACATGGACGTTAATCTGACCAGGAAACTGAACCTCAGTTCCAAACAGGAAAACGTGAACAAATACATGTAAACACTCTAACATCAAATCTGTTTCCTGCTCTGGTTGGTAAAGTTCATCTTCATTAGGCCTATGTAACCTAGTACTCTATGGTCTCTGTATATTATGTGTTGTTGTAGAATCCTGCTCTTTTAACAATAAAGGTCACGTCGGTTTCATCTCACTCGTCCAGGTGGAACATCAAGACAAGAGTAATAATCCAGAAGGTTTCTTCAGTTCTGAACAGAAACGTCTCTTTATTTCATTTTAATCTATAAATATCTTGGTCCTCCAAATGAAAACTCGGGAGGGAAAACTTTGTTTTGAGGAACCTTTTCCCAGAAAACATGCACATGTCACAGAAGGAAGAGCTCACTGTCATGTCTTAACTAGGACTCTAAAGCTACAGAAGCAGCTATTACAGTCCATACGAACTCGGTGGAAAGACATAAACTGATGCAAACAGACACAGTCAGTTGCTTTTTCAGACATGTGGAACTGAGCAGGGGTGGACTCCTTGTCGTGCCTTGATGGGCTGATTATACTGTATGACTCACCTGGCATGATGACGTCTGGAAACCCCAGTTTGCGTGTGATGGCCACCCCCCTGCTGAAAATGAGAGGGTTCTCCCTGCGGACCTGATCCATGTCGCCTCTCAGCAGCTGCAGGGAGATGATCAGACCTGCATGGATGGAGGGGGGAACAGAGGAGGACGGAAGATGAAGGGACGAGTGAAGTCACGAGCAAAAGTGTAGAAAGAGAGAGAGGGTAAAACAGAAGAAGAAGAGAGCAGTAAACGGCAGAGGTGAAGAGAAAAGAGGAAATTAATCAAACTAAACTTAAAACTCTGGTTACTTGTCGTTCTGAAGCTTGACGCTTCCTTGGAGAGTCACTACGAAGCTGTAGTTTGGTCAATAATCACATTTCCTCTGTGCCATCTATCACGTCTATTGTTGTTATTCTCATACACGTATGTTAGACAAGCTGTAACAGTGGTACACAGATTTATTTTCATCCCTTCACCTGAAAACAAAAAATAAAGGCAAACTCCTGCCTGAACTACAGCTTCATGTCTAAACGATAAAGTTCTGGGACCACAGGAGCTCAGAGACTTAAACATGGGGGCACAAGAGGCTGCGAGTCGCCTCCAGTGACACCAATTAAGATGATTTTAAAGCCGATGTCGAGTGATGACATGCACATGTCAGTCAGATGGCGTGCTGCGCTCCAAACCGGACGAGTTGCTCCTGGGTTTGTTTGTTTTGTAACTGACATTATGAGTTCTGCGTTCTGCGTGTCTAACTTAATTCATCAGTGCGTGTGTGTGTGTGTGTGTGTGTGTGTGTGACTGACTCCATCCTCACAAATGCAGTAACACGATTCATTAATGCTGCTGGACTCTTCTTTCTAAAATCAACAGATCTGTGCGCCATCTGCTTTGATTGACACAGTGACTTCCTCAGCAGCTAAAAACCACAGGATACAGACACAATAAAGCAAAGGCTGGGTGTGGTACTTGTTATCAGGGAGGAAACATTTACACAACTAACACACACACACACACACACACACACACACAGAGTTGTACCATAGTTGGTGCTGGGCGCAGTGTATTTGGTGCTGGACTTGCGGATGATGTTCTCGTGGATCTGGTACCACTCGTTCTCATTGTTGCACCTGCAGAACAGCAAAGAAAAAAGTGGCACAGTGAAGAACACGTCTGTCTGTTTAAATCTGCTGAAATAGCACATGGGAATATTCCAGGTAATCCCTCAGGTTGGTTTTATTTAAACGACTCACATGAAAAAAAAAAGCATGAAAAGGCTGATTCATTCATTCATGTGAGAATGAAGCAGTAAAAGCAGTCTACCTCCCACAACCCCTCCCACTCTGCTTGTGGCTCCTGGGGTTTTTCTCTTTCTTTTCCTTCCTGTTTAGGAGGTGTCAGGTGTTACAGGTGTGTCAGGAGAGTAATCACTTTTCTCCCTGTTTGGTTTTGGTTCAGCTTCATTTGATCGCTTTATTGATTCCACCTCACCACTGATCTGACTGATATACATGTTCCACCTTAAACCTGTGTTTTGCTTATTATCAGTTGAAATAAATTTGATTCGGCTTTAAACGTTAATTATTTGTGCAGATAAAACAAAACGGAAGTAGAACACCTGGTTAATTCCAGTGGTTATTATTATTATTGTTATTATTATTATTATTATTATCATTCTTCTTCATCTTTTTCTTCTTCTTCTTATTATCATTAGATGAATTGTCCTGTGGCACCACGAGGCCTGAGGTTCACACTGAAGATGTGCAACAACCCATGAAGCATGAAGCATCCTCAGGAGTTCAGGTAAGGTTGCTGTAGCACACACACACACACACACACACACACACACAGACACACACACACACACACACACACGCACACAGAGTTGCATCATGTTGTGACTGTGAGCACTTTAGGGGGCCTGGAGGCAAGTCTTCAGATGTTTCAGCCGAGGGGAATTCCCTTGTGTGTGTGTGTGTGTGTGTGTGTGTGTGTGTGTGTGTGTGTGTGTGCAGAGTGCTGATGGCATTATAAGACTGCAGAGACTACTTGGTGGCAAAGTGGCTGTCTGTAGCTTCTCTCTCCCTCCTTTACATAAAGTGTGACATGTGGTTAAGAATAAAGAAAGAAAGGAAACAGGTCAGTGGTTAAAGAGACAAGAGGATGAGAGTAAAGACATGAAAAGATACTGACTGCTGCTCATCTTTAATCTTTTGGCTTCTCTGACTTTTTCTGTCACATTTATTTCTTACACGTCTCAGTTCAGTTTAGGACGATTACATCATCATCGTAGAGCCGTGTGTATGTTTGCAGAGTGAGGTTAAAGGTTAACGACGCCCATTGTATGAATTCTTACATGCTATACTTTATATATATACTTAACTTTTCTATACTACTTGATTTTTTCTTGTAAATTTAATTTAATGTTGGAGTTTCTGAGTTTTTACTCAGATTATTACCCCCTCCCCTCCTCTGTCACTGTCCTTTTACTTACAGTGGCCCTCACACGCCGTCGTACTTGTGGACATGCAGAACTCTTCTTTCTCTTAAAGCTACGAATTATAAAACTGTTTGATTCATTTTGGTGCGATGACCCAGTTTAGCTTCAGCCTGAGAGAACGAACCAAACCAAAAGTTCTGCTACTTATAAATGTAGTTGGTGAGTTTGTTATTGTCCATGTTGTTTTGGGCTTCAACAGACAAAGTTAAAAAGGATACAGGACAAAGATGAAGACAAGCAGTGTGTGATTGTGTTCGTGCGTCGCAGCCACTCACGTGTAGACTTTAAGCACAAAGTCTTTCTCCTCTTTGAGTTCGGAGATGGTCTGCAGCACGTCGCTCATGGCCAGGACGGCGCAGCCGTACGGTCGGCGGTACTGAACGTGGGGAGGTCCTTTCTTACTGTCGTTCAGCAGCATACGACCTGCGACAGGAAGTGTGTGTGTCGTTTGTCACGTAATACAGGTCATACACGAGGATCCTCTCACATTCATTCATCAGCATGACTAAGAAGAGAAGATTTAAAAGGCTGAGACGATATAGATGTTCAGCTTCAACAGGTGTGGTTTGATTTTACTTTAGTCTGATGTTGCAGCTCTAAAAACTCTGACCGTCCCAACAACTGAACATTATAAACTTGAGCAAATTACTTTTATGTCAGATATCCTGCCTGGGATTGTGCGGCATTCTGTGAGCGTTTTGTCACTGAACATCTCAGCGACTAAGTCTCACCTGTTCTGATCACTTGTGAAACGATGTAGAGATCTCTCTTCATGTCTTTGTTGCTCAGGTCCTGCAAGAGAAAGAAAAAAACACTGCAAGTTTAAAGACGGCGCTGATGTTTTCTCCTGTTAAACAAACTGAATCCCGTCGCAGGAGGCGGAGAGAAGGCAGAGAGATGATCTGCAGCAAATATCAAGTCTCATCTTCAAACCTTCGGTGAAGAAAGGAAGAACTGGAGATCCCTCTGGGTTTTCTCCTGCAGTACTTTTTTTAAATATTTGCCTCAAACACTGACACAGCAAAGCTTAATTCTAATGAACTGCTTTTTCTCATGAGCGTCACATCCTCTACTGCCATTTTTAAGAATCAACAAAATCACTGCTTTTATTAGACACAGCAGAGTGACGACAGGAAATGAGGTATTGATGCAACAATGGTCCTCAGTCGGACACTAAGGTTCACACTTGGCACCTTACAGCTTCCCAGCTGAGTCATTTCTAAACTAAGCCCTGTCTCTTTACGTTGCTTCCTGTATTTCTGCAGCCAGGCTTCTGATTGGTTCTTGTGGGATGGTAAGGTGGGACCACATTCTCGCCTCTTCACTTGGCTCCAGAATTGATTTCAAATTTTTGCTGTTTAGTTTCTAAAGCCCATACGCTGCATCACGGCAACGACCAATCACGGATCCTTATTGTTTTTATTCTGGAGGATTTAACTTTACTATTTAAGTTTAATGTTATTTTGTCAAAACAGACAAAGTTAACAAGTGAATTTATTCCAGTGCTCTATTCATGATGCATCCAGCTCCCTCAGGTCGTCTTGCCTGTTGCTTTATAAAAACATTTGATCAGTTATCTTTCTCCTGAACCGTGTGAATCAGTGTTGCACGCTCCTGGTGTGTGTGTCTTATATTTAAGGTGCTGTGTTTTAAAGAATATTGGCTTGGAGGGGGGTTTCCATAAAAGCTGATGCACTCATATTCTCTGCATGAACAAAAGTGGAGGAGCTTTTGTCCAAAAAGTCCCTCGTGGTTTTCCTGCTGAGGCAGATGAAGCTGAATCATCTCTCTGCTGATTCTCTGACAGAGCGATAGGGGGCAATGCTTCCTCACAAATGTCTTCCACCTAAACCAGTTTACCCCCCCCCCCCCCCCCCCTGCATTTACAGCATGTGTTTTACATTGTGTGTGTGTGTGTGCGTGTGTGTGTGTGTGTTACCGTGAAGAGTGCGCACAGCCTGTCCACCTTCTCTGGATTCTTGGGTCCTCCGTTCTTGTTCAGCCTCACCATGAACTTCTCACTGGAAAACACAACCAGAACAAAACTTCAGCACAAAGGTTTAACCCCTCTCTCGAGTTCCTACCAGGTGCTGCTCTGTAGTTGACCTTTGACCTATGATTAAAAGTACAGTACCCAGACTAAGAAACTCTGCGATAAGGAGTCTCCTTGGGGGGGATTTCCGGAAGAGATAAAATTCCTTCAGACTTCTCCTCATGCTTCCTCTCTGCTCCCCCCGGGCTCTCGGCTGCGAGCAGCATGTCTCAGCCTTTTTCGCTTCAGGGAACAGCCAAGTGTTGTCTGCTGGTGTCAGCGGCTGCTCTTTAACTCACATTTATCCAGGGGGAATGTGACTAAACTGACTGGATTTTATTCAATAATGGCGAAGCTCGACATTACCACAGTTAAGCCTCAGATGCATCAGAATACGTCTCCAATCACAAGACGGTTGCATCCGAAAACACGTACGGCAGCGCTGAGTGCTGCCGTACCTCAGGCTCGACCAGGAGGGACAGTGAGCCCAGGGACAGTCAGCGTCAAGCTGCCTCACACCAGCGGAGACACACCAGACTACAAAGACTGATTCGACCCTCGACACTGACGGTCCCGACTGAAATAGAAGGAGTTCTGTGTGCTCTGCTTAAAAGAGCTGGAAATAAATACTTATCATTCTGTGGAGAGACCGGGCCACTTGTCAATAATAAGTTATATATCGTTGTCATCATCATCAGTGTGATGCTGTACACAGATGTGATTTACTGTTTCCACTGTTGAGTTGGGAGCATCAAGATAAACAGCCGGTGGAGCTAACTCTCCAGTCGGTGCCGTTAAACCACTGCAGAAGAAGAGGAGGCGACGAGATGACGCCATCAAAAGAATGAAAACATGGATAAATGTGAGGAAGGTTCCAGTCTCCTCGTCGCTCCGCGCAGAAGCTTCAGTGCAGCAGGAGAGTGTAAGGTGCATGAGATCAACAGAAGACGTGCAGTGAAAGTCGATGGTAGTTATTCATGATAGGGTTTTAAAGGTGTTAGGAGACATGGAGGTCTCTGAGGAGACGAGTCTTCAACAGATACTTGAAGACGGAGACTGTGGAGAAACATGTTGCCAAACTCAGCTCAGTCAGCTGGATCCCTGTCTGTCTCTAAAAATCACCAGAAAACCAATCTCCTCCGAGAGTCCCTCCTGAACTGATGTTTCTCTCTGACAATTAAAAATAATGATCTAATTTTCTTTATGCACCTGCAGCCTCGTGGTCCTGGTGTCGGGTGGAGCAGGAACAGAGTGTCGAGGCTCTTACTGCGGCTCGCGTTGGACACGAGCGTCTCCCAAATGAATAAATGTAAATGTAAGTCGCAGCAGATCAGTGCTGACGAGTCCGTGATTCATGATTTTGTAAAAAAACAGAAGAGGTGGGGGAAGTGTTTCTCATTCTGGGTTCTCAGCAGGATCTTTGCCAGCCAGTCTGCTCTTTTTAAAAACCATAAATTAAAAATGATAACATACACTGGTGCACACAGTGGAACAAAGCTGCTTTAGAATGAGTCAACAGCTGATATCAGGAGCCTTCAGATGATCTTCATTCATTTATTTAGTCATAAAGAATAACAAGGAGAATGTTTATTAGTGCTTCAGGTTCACTCAGCATCAGATTCCTCCATCAGCAAATGTTTGTTCATTTTGATCAGGCAACTTAATTAAGTTTATCTGGTATTTTCTGATTTTCTGACATTTTGTTCATTGCACTTGCTGGCTGAGCATTTCACAGCATATTAAAACAGTACATCAGTAAATATTCTAATTCAAATCATTAAGATCCCGTTTATAACGACATGATCATTTCATAAACCATATTTTACCTTCTGTCATTCCAAACTATTTTAAACCAATTTTTGTGTCATCAGTCAATTTTAATTGAATTAAAACGAATATTTTATGATAAATATTGTATTTCATTATAGAAAAGCAGCTTTTCATATTTGCTATATGTGATATTTTTCATTATATGTTTTTTTGTTGTTGCAGTTTTTCAGTTTTGCCCAGTCTGAGCTGTTTAGTGGCAGCACGGCTTATACCTGAAACATAAAATACAGAAATATAATTATGTATTACGGCTGCACAATTAAGCGAAATAAAGGTAAAACGTGTCACAACAGACTGTAAATGAAGCGTTATGGCGATACAGCACAAATCATATTCACAAAATCATTTTTATATTTTTTTTCAGTGAAAGTGAAACGAAACCGTCGTGACTCACATCTGCAAAATCTGTCAAAATAATAAATTATACATTTTTTTCAATATTCTTAAGCTCTATTATGTATGATAAAAAAACACCTGAAACATAATTTAAATGACTATAATTATGTTTTAACAAAATAAAACAATATCAATTTCATAAACCCGCCTGCGATAATATTGTACATCGTGATATTTGGGCTGAACTGTATCAAGATATTAAATTTAGAGATTTTGGATATCGCCCGAGCCGACGTCATACGGTCTCACTGTTCAGTTTATTCTCTGGGACAATACGAACCAACTCTGGGGTTATTGCTAAGGTTTGCACCATGTCTGCAAACAGCAGCAGTGAGGAGCCACAAATCCCTGCAACACACACACACAACGTCCGACTGTCTTTAAACTAAACAATTTATTCTAATCCCCTGGAGATACCGAGGAGCAAACAAACAAATAGAACAAAAGAGAATAAATATGTATTTCTATCCTGAACAGGAGAGTGTGACTTAGCATGTGTGGGTGGATGGGGGTGGGGGGCTGTGGAGTTTGTGGTCCTGTTTTGTTATTGTTGTTGGTTGTTGCTTTCTTGAATTAAAGAGTGATTCACATTAGAGAGTGCGCACACACACACACACACACACACACACAGATACATGCACACATGCAAACTAGAGTAAGTTGTAACAATCCCTTAGGTGGTAGCAGGCACTAATGTACAAAACACACGTATGTACACACATCCTAATACACACACACACACACACACACACACACACACACACACACACACACACGCTTGCACACATTAGGAACACTACTTCATGTCAGCATCGATGTGAAAGAGGAAACACGAAACACTGCAGATGAAATCAGAAAAACGTCCTGCGCGATACAAACATGTTCAAACGCACAGATTCCTGCATGTATGCATGGATACACACGTGCACATGCAGACACACCGATGTTCTGTAGATACATGTATGCATGGGTGCGCTCAGTCACGTGAACACACAGATGCACCAACAGAAACACACACACACACACACATGAACACACACAAACACACACACTTTTATGGAAATGCATATGAACCATTCCTTTCCACTCCATTGCCGTTCGTCCTCTCGATGGAGCACATCTGCAGCCGAGCCACGGCTGAGGAGGAGCAGCAGTCGGAGTGACCGGGAGCTTTTCAGCCTTATTTACCCAGGAGGCGTTGTCCAAACACATGTTAATAAAATTCACACATGGGAACTGACCAGACCAACAACACGCTTCCACTATCAGCCACTGGTAGAGGAGGGAGGAGACATGGGTAATTCTCTCTCCCTAAAGACTCTACCAGCAACCTTGCTGCCTACCCAGATGTTGTCTGTCCCTAATATCCATCGCTCCACACAGATCTGATGTTGTTGCCTCTCTCTCACATTTAAAGGAGCTATATGTAAGTTTTGCTATTGCTACATAGCTAACGTTAGCATTAACAGCTGTTTACTAACCAGTCTAGAAGAAACATTTTCGAGTTCAGCATCAAACTTCATCCCTAAACTCAACAACAGCTGTCTCCAGCAGTGGAAAGCAACACCAATGTCTCCATCACGTCTTTTCTTCTACTGAAGTTAGCACGCTAACCAGCTAGCCCCGGCCGACTCCCTGTGGCCTCCAATCTGCCCTGAAGACGTGGCGCTGCTCAGAGGGCGAGTTATAACCTCTTGGCTGAAGCTCTTGTTGAGCAACAACCCCCACCAACCTGCTCCCAGCAAGAAACCATGTCCGGCGGCAGAGAAAACTTTCAGGTAGAACCTTTAAGTCTGTTTGCACTTTGTTTTATTTTGCAAGTTATTCTGTCTTTTTTTAAGGCTCGAGCTGGAAATGCACATACAAACAGAAACACACTGACTTTAAGACACAGATACTTTGACTTGCTTCTACATAAACAAATGAAGCAGTTGGATTATCTTCTATTAGCTCTATCAAATTCACCAGAGTGAAGCCACTTCAATTAAACCTTGAATCAACACTTAACAGCTGATTTCCCTTCATTACATTACAGCCAGAGATGCTGAACCACCACTTCCTCTCACCTCACATAGATTTCTAGTGTTATTTCCACAACAGCCCTGAAGTTATTACTCCTGTGATCGGTGGGAAATCATTTAAGAAAGAAGTTGTTGGGAAGGAGAGAGAGAAAAAAAAAAAACGAAAGCTAAAGAGAAGGTTTGTGTTTCTCTGATGAGGAACAAAATCATGGAGAAAAGAGGATGAGAGGGTGATGACTCAGAGGGACCCGGCTCCGGTGAGTCACACCTTGTAGAGACGAGCTTTAAAAAGCGGCGACAGAACAAGGGGAGCGCTCGGCTGTCATGACTGAAGTGGAGAGGTCTTTGCCACTCGCAGGCTTGAAAGAAAAGTGCCAAGTTATGTGGGAAAGAAAGAAAAGTGCAGACCCTAAACTTCACCTGGAAAACTCGCTCTGCACCGGTGAGTGATGCACATCTTCTCATTGACGTGTCTCTCATGTGGGTTTATTATTCATACAGCTTCCACTTTGATAGAGCTCAGACAACAAGTGAGAGACGTTCACACAGTAAAACGGACAAAATTCAAATTCAAACAATTTCAAACAACCTGAATCAGAAAGTCTATGATGGTATTAAATTAGATGTGAATAATCTTCTGCTTCTCCAAACATGTGGAGAGAAACATGAAATCAACAAGAACATATTTTAATAGACTCTGTTTCTTTAAACCTACAATAACTTTTCTGGCTACTTGGGTGCAGCAGAAATAAGTTGTGAACACGACGCTGACATATCATCAGCTGATATCACACACACCAGGAACTCACACACTCACCATGTGCAATAATGTGCAATAAGTAACACATCACCATCTGTGCAATATAACTCTTATGCTTCTATTTTGTAAATTTCTGTTAATGTGGTTTTGTACATATTATATTATTATCTATTATTATTTTTACTTCTTGTACTGTCACTTTACTGCTGTGACGCTGCAACTTCCCCAGTGTGGTTATCTTATCTAATCTTATCTTGTCTTGTCTTATATAATGTTGAACAAACATCGTCTTATTTCCACATCCAGCGGTTACAGAGCAACATGATGATTCATCTGCAGCAGTGTGTCCAGTGTTCTCTCTCTTTTAGCTCTGTTTTTGGTCTCCACCTGCTCCTGAGGCAAATATCTGGCTTTTTAGCTGCTAAATGCTCCACGATGTTCAGCAGCTGTGTTTGAGCGACCCGCAGAGGGAACACGGCGTTTACTGGACCACGGTGCTGAAACTCACCCACAGGGCAGAGCTGCTCCGAGGGCGACGCATGGGCGAGTTACAGCTCAATAACTGGAGGGTTTATGCTACTTGTTTCCTCTCCTTGTTCCTTCTCCTTGTTTCCCCTACTCTCATATCTCCTTGTCTCCTCTCCTCACGTCATCTGAGCGTCTCAGAGGAGCAGCTCTTGTCATTAGACTCTAATGCTGAGTCAGGCTAGACATTGAAAACAGGCTGCCAAGGTCAAGTGTATTTGTGTGTGTGTGTGTGTGTGTGTGTGTGTGTGTGTGTGTGTGTGTGTGTGTGTGTGTGTGTCTTTGTGCCTCTGTGTTTGTGTTATGCAATAAGGAGTCAGAGGAAGCAAAATGCAAAATGAACAAAAAAGATGAGGGAGTGTCTGTTGAGCTGCTCTCTGTTTCCTGTAGGGACACACACACACACACACACACACACACACACACACACAGACACACACACACACGCTTGCACAAAAGACCTAAGTTCTCCTTCCTGCTAAACATCAACATTTGTGTATAATATACTCTCTGACCCTCCACAGAACTGCTCTATATTACATATTAATAACCCAAAACACACACACACACACACACACCATCATGCCATCACAGTGCGCCTACATCAGCCTCATTACTGATATTAGCAATTCCTTATCTGTTAGCATTGTGATCGCTCCACTAATACATAATTGATGGGCATTCATTACAGTGGTGGGAGTCATGTATTATTCACAGCAGCTCTGTGCGGCCACTTGCCAGTATTTGTTCCACATTATGAAGTTAATATGTCACGTATGAGAGAGGGAGAGAGAGAGAGAGAGGGAGAGAGAGGGAGAGAGAGAGAGAGGATCGACCTCGTCCTCGTTTCGCTCACGCCAATAAAGATCAGATCATTTGAGATTCGACAGAAATCAAAACAAATAAAAAATCTTTTTCACAAACACTGACTACTTGTTTGAAAGCAATACACAAGTTGTCATAACAACCAAGGGTGTAAAGACACGATGGGCCGGTAGTGGGAGTAAACAGTCATAATACTTCAGGGTCACACAGTCTCCTCTGGGTCGGTGCTGAATATAAACAAAACCCAACCGAACGCTGGTAAACAAGAACCCACAATGCACTCTGACTGACTCAGCGATCGAACTGTGCAACAACAGAGCGGTGAGATGTGCTTTCACTGACAGAGGCTCGATATGAGACTTTGGTACGGTGGCCCTGAGAGCTCAAAGCACTGCAGCTGCAGAAAACACAAGCAGGCCGCACATCAACACATGTGCTGCAAATACACACAACACTGCAAAATACACACTACAAATACACACAACACTGCAAAATACACACTACAAATACACACAACACTACAAAATACACACTACAAATACACACAACACTGCAAAATACACACTACAAATACACACAACACTGCAAAATACACACAGTGTATCACTTTTTAGTTTCCCCTGGAAACACTTCTGTTGTCGTCTGTGCTACTTGCAGCGTGTTTGTGTATCTGATTGTGTTGTGAGTGTTTGCAGCACATGTGATGTTAAATTGATGAGGATGTTTTTCTGAATCAGTCTGTTGAGCTCTCTGGGCCACCGTACTTTAGACTGATCTTTTATCTGAACGTATAAAAACATTATTAAATCAAAAGAGGAGAAATCAGCTCGACTAAAAACCTTCAGGAAAAGTCAGAAATCCAGCAGGTAAAAATTGATGGACAAGCAGTGGATGTGTGTGTGTGTGTGTGTGTGTGTGTGTGTGTGTGTGTGTGTGTGTGTGTGTGTGTGTGTCCTACCTGATGGTCTTCCCCTCTCTCAGGTCGTACAGAGAGAAGAAAATGTCCGTGTCCTCTCCGATGCTGTTGTAGGTGAAGCTCTTCAGGTTGACCAGCAGGTGGTGCGGCACCGGAACTCGACATGGCTCCCCGTGTCGCTGCCGCGTACTGTCGCCCTGGAAACCAACGACAACAACAGGCTGTGATTTTATTTATGTTCTGGATTGTTTTCCTTTTAACACCCTACTTTTATTTCTGGTTTTCATCACCTCCAAACATCTCCTCTCTTCTAGCATTTTATCAGTTTATCTTCACTATTTTTCTCTTCATTTTTATCTGGTTTTTAAAACCCTATCTTTTATTTCTGGTTTTACTCACCTCAGTACATCTCCTCTGTTTTAGTATTTTAGTATTTTATCTTTACCACTCGATCTTTATCTTTACTTTCTTCTTAGCTTCCTCAGTTCCTGTTGTTATTGTCTTATTTTTATCTTTTTATTTTTTTTATCTATCTATCTATTTATTGCTCTGTGTGTAAATGGGATGGGTTTGTTGTTATTGCTTTTATTCTGTAAAACACTTAATGTATGTTGTTTGTATGAAAAGTATTATACAAATAAAGTCTGATTGATTAATTCTGATTAAACAAGGTTTTGGGGAAAAACTCTGACATTGTGACAAGACTCAAACTTCTAAGAGTGATATATGACTCTGGTGTTTTCAGCTGTCTCATCATGATGTCAGTTATGAACATTAATTATAAATATCACAATTGTTTGACAAAGAAACGTCAGTGTTTAAATGTGGAGCATCTTCAGAAAGTTGAACAGATCCGTGATGTAACAGCTGGAAGCAGATGTACGGTTTGTGTTTATACCAGTTAAAGTTAAAGTTAAAGCTCAGCTCGGGGAAGCCGCTGAGCAAGGCACTAAATCCCCGAGCGCTTCATTATCCAACAGGAGAATATCTAATGAGAAGATCATTTTCATTGACAGTGTTGTGTGTTGACTTGCCTTCAGTGGTGGATTAAGGCTTGTAAATATAACATAACCTTTTAAATTCTTTTCATGAATATTTCCACGTCCTGAATATTAAACACTAAAATTTATTGATTGCATAAACGATGACTGTAAAAGCTTTTCAAGGATCCTGTTTGTGCTAAGTGTCTTAAATCCTTCTGTAAATACTGTGAAACATATTCAGACGCTGCATTCGAATGTTTCCTGAAGGAAAAGGTCAAGCCGCTTTTAAAGCTGAATAATTAAAGTGTTGATCGGATTCTTAATGTTGCAGGTGGGGTCACGTGACATCACTACTACCGGTCTCACAGTGGAGACGCTCAGACCTGCGTGTGATCACCTGAGGAGGAGTCGGGGAACGTTACCTGTGTGGTGCTCTGCTGAACGCTGTGTCTGCTGGACAGGTGCTGAGGAAGAGACACAAACAAACCTGAGGTCAATAATCATGTCCCCTCTTCCCTATTCACGCCTCCTCTTCTTGTTTCCTCTCCTTGTTTCCTCTCCTTTTCTCTCATTTCCTCTCCTCTCCTACTTTCCTATCCTCGTCTCATTTTCTCTCCTCTTGTTTCCTCTCCTCTCATCTCGGTCCCTTTTCTCATTTCCTCTCCTTGTTTCCTCACCTCTTCTCATTTCCTCTCCTCTCCTCTCCTCTTCATGATTAAATACTTAAATGCCCCAGAGAGTCATTACCCCGACTCGTCTCTCTAAATCTCTCGAGTGTGAGACGAGAGCGAGCGAACGGTGGAACCTGTTTGATGAATTGAAGTAATGACTGTCGAATTAAAGCCATCTGCAAATATTCAAATATTCCAACCTGAGCAGAGGAGAAACACTGCTTCAGTGCGATCATCAGAGTTTCATTATACGAGGGATTCCCCGTCTATATGTTAACGGTCATTGTAAACTCTGCTAATATCTTTGTCACAGCGACAATATACTGATGTTACATTATACAGTCAGAGCAGGAGCCATATTGTTTTCAGGTTGTCCGTCCATCTCAGTAACGCCTCGGAAATTCTTCAAATTTGGCACAAACATTCACCAGGACTCAAGGATGAACTGGTTGAGATTTTGGTGGCTAAAGGTCAAAGGTCAAAGGTCAAGGCCTTGTGAACGTGATATCTCTTCCTCAAGGGAATCCCCTTCACATTTTGCACAAGCCTTCACTTGGACTCAAGGACAAACTGATAAGGCTTTTGTGGTCAAAGGTCAAAGGTCAAGGTCACATTTTCACACAGCAATTATGACAAAATTTCACACAAATGGTTCATATTTTATACGACTCTGGATCAACAGGGAAGTATCCACGAGGTGGTAATTCTAGTTTAATAAATAATCTTTTCATTCTTGATTAATCTGCTGATTGTTTCTGTATAAACTTTCAGAAACTACAGAAAAATGTCTGTTTTCATTTCAGCTGTTTTTCGATTCCTTGTTTTATTCAATAATCAGAACAAATTCCAAACAGTTTAATGTCATATATGATGAAAAAGCAGCAAACGTTCACGCTGGAGAAGCTGGAAGCAGCAGGTGTGTTTTAGAAAAATGACCAAACGACTGATTGATTATCAAAGTAGTCGCCTTGATTTTCTGTTGATTGACTCACAAACTAATTAACTAATTGTTGCAGCTGTAAATTAGCTCACATGATGATAATCTGTTGTCAGCAGTGACTTTATATTCACAGTCAGTCGTCTTGCAGTCGACTGTTGTTAGTTTGAAAACTTTCTTTTCGTTCACTTTGTATTCTCGTTTTCACTCTGCTGCTGCTGCACTAATGTAAATTCTCTGAAGGGATCAATAAAGTTTAATTTGATCTTATCTGGTGTTTTCTTCATCTTGACCTTTTCTTGGTCAAATCTAACGACTTTTTGTTCACACACGATGTCATCTCCATCTCCAGACAATTCATCAGGATGCTGAGAATCATAATTTCATATCTGTGTGACTTTCTTTTGCTCGTATTTGTTCCTGTTATTTGCATCAGTGTCACTTCTCCAAACAAAACATTACGGCTGTGAAACAGCATCTGATTTATTTCTCTCTCTGCAGGTTCACCGCTCCACAACTTCCACCCCACCATCTATAAACTTTACAACTTTCTCCCCTCTGTGTCTCTCTCTTCCTCTCTCTCCGTCTCTAGGCAACAGAACAAAGGGGGAATCACCACGGCCACGGTGTTTGACTGGTACAGCTCAGCTATTTAAAGCAGGGCTGATGTAAGACACAGAACATCAAGTATTTCTTTAAGAGACCAGGAACAACTAAGAATACTCCTCACGTTGCAGCAGCTCACTCCGACTTCAAGTAGCTCCAGGTTTTTTCTCAAAACATCCTCAAAAATCTGACGCAAACTGACCCGCAGATTATCCACAATATCAACACGTGTAGAACAAAGTATTAATAGAGATTCACCATATTTTTCTGTGGTTGAAAAACTCGTATGTCACATGGCTTTTACCATGAGATATGAGACATCTCAGCAACTAATGTATTTATGATATTTCATGCAGCATAACAGCTCAAATATCAGCCACAGTTATACAGATACTCGCTCAGGTGTCAGATTATTAGGAACGCCCAGCTGAATCCAACAGTCCTGCAGTAAATCCATATATAACAGTGTTGAAACTGTTGATTTAACTTTTAGAAGTGTTTGCTAATTTCTTTAAAAATCAAAAACCGAAATCTCTCATTTACAAAAGTTTTCAGGGCGTCTGCTGAGGTCGGGTCAGAGCTTCAGAGGTCGTCTGCAGAGATGGTCGTCCTTCCAGTAGCTTCTTCCATCTCTGCAGGACGTTATCTGTTCACGTGTTCACACCTGTTCACGAGTTCACACCTCTGCACCCCGGTTAGAATCACTTTATCTGTAGACCAGTGTGTGGAGAGATGAGACTTCCTGGAAATAAATTAATTACGTAATTACTCACCATTTTGTAAAGATCTGAGACGCTTATCTGCTCTTCATCCACCATCTCAAACTCTTTTCTCGGCACCAAGTCCAGACCCAGGTGTCTGAGAGAGAGAGAGAGAGAGAGAGAGAGAGAGAGAGAGAGAGAGAGAGGGAGCTTTTATTTAACCTTCACACAAATGATATTTCCGATATGGATACAGGTACAGAAACCTTTACACCAACCTGTGCACTTTAACACACACACACACACTCACTCNAGAGAGAGAGAGAGAGAGAGAGAGAGAGAGACAGAGAGAGAGAGAGAGAGACAGAGAGAGAGAGAGAGGGAGAGAGAGGGAGAGAGAGGGAGAACCACATCAGTGTCTTTTATTTAACCTTCACACAAATGATATTTCCGATATGGATACAGGTACAGAAACCTTTACACCAACCTGTGCACTTTAACACACACACACACACTCACTCACTCACACTCACACACACACACACACACACACACACACACACACACACACACACACACACACACACACAGTGTATTAAAGTCATCTGAGCTGTGGCCTGCAGGGATGTTGTTCCTGAGGATTACACACACACCTCTCACCTTCAGGCCGTCGACCTCGGTCTTAAAGACACGGAGCAGAATATTCTTAGAAACAGTGAAACGGCCTTAAACTGCGACCGGGAGACTGAATGTCTGTTGCCGTGTTAATGGGAGCAGGACGGTAAATTTTGTTTAGCCACAGATCCGGAGGCAGCAGCTCGTTCTCCGGCCGATAAAGTTTAAGAACTGAGGGCGGAGGGTCGTATCCATCACGTCTCCGCTGTGCCAACAGAGACCGTCCTGCTGTAACCAGCCCTCAGGTCGCCTGTGCAGCACGTCATTATGACCCACAGTTAGGTTTTGTTGCTAGGCGACGTCTATTGTTCAGGTTGAAGGACTGGTTGGACCAACATCACTTCATTAGTTTCATTTATTTATTTGTAGTTGATTAACAAAATAGCTGCTGATTGATTTGATTGATCAACTAATGAGAGTAAGAAGAACTTTTCCCTCAGATTTGAGAGAACTCGCAGAACGTCACATGACACACAAACTGACCGTCAGATGATCTGCGTGACTCTCCAGCCTCTGATTCTACTGTCTGAGCTTTCTCCCTCAGAGGAGGCAGTGGAGCTTGTTTTCCCATCATGCAACCTTTCAGCATGAATTAGCTTTCAGGCAAGAGACGCCGCTGCTCGGCCTCCTGCTCGTTTCTGTCTGACACATCACTTTCTCTCACCAGCTGAGGACTAAATCAGGAGTGTAGCAGCTACTGGAATAGCTCCATTCTACATGAACGCACTAATATCACTACGAGCAGCTAATTCCTACTTCTGAACTCTCTTAAGCAGCAACAGTAATGACTGATCCAACGGTCAACGGTTTCTGGGTTCTACTGGAAACTGGAAGAAACACGCCACATTATCCCAAATACGAGGCTGTAATAATAACAATCCTCCTCCTCCTCCTCCTGATGACCTCCCAGTGTGTCTCGTCCCCGCAGACCGTGAAGTGGAGCTTTAAATAACCTGTTACAGTCCCGGCGAGCCCATCTTTCATTTCTCCAGTATTAATAACTCAAATCCGAACTCAGCCGACGGTTTCTCGCCATTTCATCTGTTTTCTTTCAGCCTTTCAACGAGCTCCCACGAGTCTCTTCAACCGACGGCGCACGGCTTCATCCACCTGCCTCCAATCACGCTTTTATTTGCCCTGTGTTTGTGTCTGGGGAGCTCCCTGATCTGCCGTCTGCAGCACAGACTCAGAGGCCAGGCCGTCTTCAAACATCCACACATCCACGCAGAGGATTTCTGTGTTATTTTTCTGAAGAACTTGCTTCAAGTCAATAACATTAGAAACACGTATCAAGCTTTTTTTTTTTCGAGAACTGAACCAGAGATTTTGATTCGATCAAAAATACAGAGTGTTGCAAAAAGGCTTGGGCAACATCCAAAATATAATCTTTTATATTCGGGGGAATTTCTGGGGGGAAGATTTTTATTTCAGATGAGATAAGATAAAACTTTATTGTCCATTAGATTTGCATGAAATGGAAATTGGTCCTTGACAACGTGGCAACACAGTAAAAACTATGAATATATAAAATACACATATATACTTTTTTTGGGGGGGGGGTTCATAATATTATTCATATTTTTGTATTTTATATTTCAGGTATAATTGATGTCACATGCCAAAAAAAAGAGTAAATAAATAAATACATTTTCTATATTATGAAAATTATTGCAAAGGGCAGGAAACATCACGATATTTGATATTATTGAATATCGTTCCGAGCTTAGCTGCTCAAATGCCTCAGACATTTGGACTCGGCTGTATATCAGCGTTCACGACTGTTTTACAATTTGTTGTGATGCTGATCTTTGGTAAACGTTTTGTCACAGTAACCAATAAGTGACCAGCTACAACAAGCAGGAAGTAAAAGGTGAGAGGATCAAATTAGTTGAAATGATCAAAGTAATTTACAAACAACTGAAATAGTTATAAAAGAAAGAATTAGCTGAAAGTATAAATATATAAACAAGGGAATCAGTTATTTATATATAATGATATTTAATGGATAAATGGTATAAATGCTTCTGTCACTTCAAGTGGTACAACTGCAAACTCTGTGCATGTGTTACTGTGTGTGTGTGTGTGTGTGTGTGTGTGTGTGTGTGTTTTTGTGTGTGTGTGTGTGTGTGTGTGTGTGTGTGTGTGTGTGTGTGTGTGTTCTCACTCATTGCCCCAGTCCAGTCTGACGGTGATGTGTCTCTTGACGTCTCGGCTCTGGTCCTGCGTCAGGTGACCGGACAGGAGCTGCCGCCTCAGGTCGATCAGCTCCATCATCACGTGGCGAACCTTGTAGAACAGATCCACCTTGTGTTTCTGATGGAGAGAGAGAGAGAGAGAGAGAGAGAGAGAGAGAGAGGGCGGGGGGTTACATTCGTCTGTTGTTGAGCACCCACACTCATATTGTCCAGCTCGCGAAGAGGCTGAGTAAGCTGTCATCCTTTGGCAGCGACGAGGACACTGTTGCCGTGGCGCTTCTTCCAAGGCGGTGTGACACAAACAAACAACAGCTCTCACTGTAATACAGTTAAGGTGAACGCGCTCATTGTTCTGCCAGCCAGTTCCTGTGAAGCCTCGCAGACCGAGCCGGAGCCGACGCCAGCGTGTGTTGGCCGGGAGGAAGAGGAGCGCTGTGAACGGATCACAGTTTATCACAGAGCTCATATCAACAAACACAGTCACTGAGTCCAGTCCACCTGTTGGTGAGCGAGGACGGCACACAGAGGGGTCCGGCCGGGGAATCGAACCGTCGACCCTCTTGCTGTCGGCTGGTTGGGACACAGAGGACACCAACATGGAGATGTAATCGTGTTTCATGTCATTACAAAGTAAAAACAATCATGGTCATAAACATCAGCCATGTTTGATGTTAAAGGACCAGGAGTCAAACGGTGAGACATTCGGCTGCTGTTTAAAGCCTTAAATAAATCTGCATCTGTGTGACATCAATTACTAATAATAATAAACTAATAAATACAAATACTAATATTCAGGATCTTTAAATGCAGGTTCATGTTCCACTGACTCGTCTGTTGTTTCTGGTTTTGAGGGATTCTCTGAAAACAAAGGCAGCACAGACTCGACTCTACAATGGGTCTGCAGTTCAGTGTTTCCAGTGAGACAGCACAGCAACTGCATAAACACACACACACACGCACACACACACACACGCGCACACACACAAAATCCAGAATACACTTCCCGCTATAGCTTGTTCTATTATTAGCGCTCTAATTCACCCCACAGGCTTTCAACAGCAGGCGCTGGGGTTAAATGTCGACTCAGTTTTTAGCTGGAAAGCTACAGAGGCAGAAATGACTGTACAGAGAGGAAGGTGCTGCGGACACACACATACTACACACACACACACACACACACACACACACACACACACTGTAAACCGGGCTGAAGAGGAGAACAGTGGACCTGCTCCTGTGAGGAAACTTTCAGTGTGTTTCAGTCTTTAACACACACAGAACCTCTTCGCATCAGAACCATTATGTAACTCCGGCTGCAGTGGAGGTGGAGCTGTTTTTGGGAACCTCAGCTCAGAAACAGCATCATGAGCATCTGGTTGAACATGGCAGCAGCAGCAGCAGCAGCAGCTCTGATATCGACCGGCAACCGCCGTTTCTCCCAGTGCATCCTGGGATAGACTTTAGCCCCAGCCAAGAATAAGCGGTATTGAGATTAGATGGAAGAACAGACACACAGTCGAGACAAAATCTTTAAAGGTATTTCTCAGGGTGTAGATGGGGATCAGTCGTTTAAGATGCCTGGGTTTGTTTCTCCTCTTGTTACCGGAGGCGTCCTGCTCCACTTCAACTTTAGACTGTCGAACTTTTGTCCACTTGTTCCTGTTTTTATCGTGTCTACTGTTTATTACTATTAAATATCTATTCAATAATAATAATATCTAATCAGGAGGCCAATCATTATCACTTGTTGTGAGCCTGTTCAAAAGTAATTACTTTTTTAGTTTAAGCTTGTTTATTTAATTCTTTTATCTATTTAATATTATTATTATTTTATTAAGGTTTTTCAATCACAATGCAACACACCCTGTTTTCTTGTTCTGTTTATTTTTTATAATAAATTGTATTGCATTGAAAAAAAGACGGATCACTCTGTAAAAGGAATCAACGATTTTACTGAACCGGCAGCTGAAGTCTGATCTCAGTTTTACTAACAGAAAGCAGAACTGGCTGCTGCACATTAAATCAAACTGCTTGGACAGAATACGCGAGATGAGTTAATTATTTAGAGGATATTTAAACAGACTGGTTCACTGTAGTAAGAGTACTCTACTCTTGCTCTGAGGTAATGTGTCCACAGGGAAGCCCCATTTTTCACAGACCTGGGATCTGTATCTCAGGAGCTCGTGTTGTGACCTCTGCTGCAGCCGTCCAGCTCGTGCTGACTGATTAGCATGTTTTCAGCACTCAGCGCGGCGAGTGAACAAGGTTAAAAATACTACAACTTTTAGCCAAAGAGCGCCAAATGGATTTCCAGTAGTTGCTTAGCAACAACAAGAGTCATGTACAGCGGTTCCCCTCAGCAGCTGTTTGGCGCTTGTTTTGAAGGAGATGCCCAGTGGACACAGGAGCTAATGCTCTTTGAAACACACTCTCCATATTAAAATTCAGCATGAAACATGTAACTATTAATGATGCAGCAGGATCTTTCAGAGTAAAAGCTTTTACACATTATCTTAATGGGCAGAGAAAAGTGCACTTTAATTATTCTCATTAATAATATATACATTGGATCAATTTTTTTTACTAATTAATTCTTTCATCTAATAAAAAGTGAAAAACAAGAGAAGTGCCAGCAACAAGTTACTCAGAGATAATCTCATATAAAACAGGTCAGAAAAATCCTGTGAAGTTTTATTAGTGATTTAATTAATCAAATTAAAACACATCTAACAATCAAAATCATAATCAATCAATTAGTCTCAAAAACACTTAGAGAAGTGATAATTTAGACAAGTACACATCAGACGAGTCGGGTTACAGCAGAAGGATGACGAACAATAAAAACAGTAATTCATCAGTGGCCAAACAGGAAGTAAAAAACAACTGAGGTGACTCAGTCATGACTCAGCAGAGCAGTAGGACTGTAGGTGACCTGGAGTTTATATCATCACACACAAAAGGAATCCTGCTGCACAATATTCAGAGTTCACACTGAGCGTGCGTCCTGCACTGACCCAAAATTACCAAGTCACAAACAGGAACTGCATGACTAAGATTAGATATTGATTGTTTTATTAAATCCTTCACAGTGTAGAAGGAAATAATCGACATCGGCCAAATTCCACGAAACAGGATGATACAGTAAAAAAAAAAAAAGATCCTGTGTATTTTAATGAAAAAATGATGAGATGACGTGTCACATTCATTTTGAGACTTTACAGTCACTGTAAACACACGACAGAGTTTCCACCAGGCTGAGAATTTATTTGTGGTGGTGGGTGGTTGTTTTCTGTAGTTACAATTTACATATCTACCTTAAACGCTTCATATGCAGTCTATCAGTAGATCAGTAGATACTACAATTTATACCCTAAACGCTTCACGTACAATCTATCAGTAGATGTTCAAATTTACTGATGTACCCTAAACGCCTCACATACAGTCTCAGTAGACAACTACAACTTACTGAAGTACCCAAAACGCCTCATATGGTAGATGCGACAATTCACAGGTGTTCCATAAACACCTCACGTACAGTCTATCAGTAGAAACTACAGTTTACAGATGTACCCTAAATGCCACACAAGCAGGATAATGGACAGTAGCTACCACAGGTGTAAACTAGGTGATGTTATCCACCTGGGCGGGGCTTCCTCTACCTGTGTGACCGAGTTGAGCGGCTAAATGAGACCCTCCCTGCCTCAGCCTGTCGACTGTACTCTGTTCCTGTACTGTGCTGCAGCAGGATGCGTTCAAAGGCCGAAGGCAGCCCACACTGTTGGTTCATTCATTGAGCCAATGTATAAAAGCTCATATATAACCACCATGTTTACACTCTTGAAGTGTGTCCTGGAGACGCTCAGCGGCACAGGAGTCAGATGTAAAGCTCCCAGAACCACGCAGACACATCAGAGACAACACAACACATACACACACACACACACACACACACACACACACACTGTTGTTGTTTACAGCAGCAGACTGAGAGAGGAGCTGCACCTGGAGCAAGGTTCACACACACATCTACACCAGAGAGCTGCCCAGAACTCACAGCCTGTTGTCAGCCACTGGAGCCGCTGGGGAAACTGTAAAGTGTGTGTTTGGCTCAAGTTCACAACAACAGTGTGTGTGTGTGTGTGTGTGTGTGTGTGTGTGTGTGTGTGTGTGTGAGTGTGAGCGTGTGTGTCGCTCTCCGTCAGTGCTACACAAACACATAGGAGAAAAGATCTGGAGTACAGGTGTACTCTCCAGAGTAGACAATATGTTTCTGCAGCAGGACTGGAGACGGCTACAAACTGTGACCTGTAGCAGATCTAGAAGTTTTCATTAATCTGCTCCAACAACAAACACCAACATCCACAGACAGCAGCTGACCTGGAAGTGCTGACTCAGCTGATCCAGTATTAGTCAGTTCTCACTGAGGTCATGCAGACAGTTTATCTGCAGAGCCACATGCTGCCTTAACGTGTGAGGCACAACAGACTCGTCTTCAATTCACAGCCATCAACGGGACGTAGCTCAGCTTTACCAGGCCGGATTATCAGTGGACTTTTAGTTTTAATACCGATTCATGTTATTTTATATTGTTGTTGTTGTTAAATTAAAATGGTGCATATCAACCAAACTAACTGACATACAAGATAATATGTCAGTGTAGGAATAATCAGAGTCCCTGTGCAAATATTGAAGATGCCATTTATTCTACAATGTTCCCTGTGTTGTTGATGGGAAGTTACAGACGACAAAGTACATACTTAAAGCTCCTCCAGTGTAAAGGTCTGTGTCCATGTGTAGTGTGATTATAGATCAGCTCTAGCTTCTATATTAATACTGTGAAAGTATCAAAGCCTCAGTCCACAGAGAAATGCACACAGCCTGTATTCAGAAACTGAGCCTTAAAACCAGCCGTCAGGACTTCTGCAACTTTGTGATGTCACAACAAAGCAGTCACCAAGCCCCGCCCACCTGGACCCACCATCCAAACCTTGCAGGAGGTTCTGAGCCTCCTCTCCTCTGATTGGCTCACAGACCTGTTGTCACTAGAGCTCCAGAGAGAAGCCTGAGTTAAACATCAAAAAACAAAACTGTGATGCTTTCAAGGACACACCTTTCTAA